CCTTGCTAGAAATATGTCCTTCTCGATTTCCTCTAGGCGAGCTCTTTGGCTCAGATCTTGGGCAGCCGATGCTTCCTCCAAGAATAGTTTGTGTTCTTTGCCATTTCACGGGAGTATGTTATTCGGCAAGAATTTGGACGAATGCATTAAGAGGGCGGCTGAAGGGAATAAAGCCTTTTTACCTCAGGAGAGAAAGTATAAAGGATCCTTTCGTGCCCGGAAAGAGTATCATTCCTTTCGTGACAGTAGGTCCTACAAGCCGGGCAGAGAATATTCCAGATTTCAACCTGGGAGAGGAGCCCCAGCTGGAAACAAAGGAGGCAAGTCACGCGGTTCATCTTCCTATAAAAACCAGAGGAATCTATGACTATATAATTCCCAAATCCGAAGGTGTCGGGGCTTGTCTTCTCCAATATCTACCGATATGGGAAGCATCCACAAGCGACAGTTGGGTACTGGATATCATTCGGAGAGGTTACTTGATAGAATTTCTCGAACATCCTCCAAGCAGGTCCTTTCACCTCACAAAGTGGCCAAGGGACAAGGAAAAGTGCATGGCCCTACAAGACTTCATACTTTCCTTGCAGAAGGAGAAGGTTATCACCAAAGTGCCAGCCGGCGAGAGAACTCAAGGGTTTTACTCCCACATCTTCCTAACGAAGAAATCCTCAGGGGGATGGAGACCCATTCTGAATCTACACAGGCTAAACAAGCATCTGCACATTCGCAGGTTCAAAATGGAATCCTTACAATCTATAATAAAAGTAGTGTCTCCCAACCAATGGATGCTGTCCATAGATCTGTTAGATGCGTATTTTCACATACCCATCGCCCAAACTCATCAAAAGTTTCTGAGGTTTGCTGTGGAAGAAGGTCACTTCCAGTTCAGGGCCCTCCCCTTTGGACTGAGCACAGCTCCGAGGACATTTACAAAGGTCCTGATTGTTCTCATTGCAGAACTCCGAAAACAGAACATTGCGATTTACCATTATTTGGACGACATCTTGATCTTAGGAAACAACGTAGATTCTCTGACATCCCATGCTATTACCAGCATTCAGTTTCTGCAAGCTCACGGCTGGAAGATCAACACCAAGAAGAGCCACCTCCACCCAACGCAATCTATGGTTTACTTAGGAGCTCACTTCGACACTCTAAAGGGCACTGTCCAACTTTCATCAGCAAGAATACAGAAACTCAAGATGTTATTGAGAAGAATGCTGATATCCAGGGTGGCCCCGGCAAAGGCCATAATGAGCCTCCTGGGTTCCATGTCCTCCACAATAGGACTGACCAGATGGGCACAGTGGAGAATGAGACCATTCCAAGCCAATTTCCTGAGAGAGTTCTCCTCCGGGAACCTGCACCAACCCATCAAACTTTCCCTGAATGTACGCCATTCTCTAATCTGGTGGTTAAACAGGGAGCACCTATCAAAGGGTTTTCCACTAGGAGATATCGCGTGGATAACTGTGACAACGGATGCCAGCCAATGGGGATGGGGCGCTCATTGTCTCCACGACTTTGCGCAGGAAGAATGGAGTTTCAGGGCAAACAATGTTCATTCCAATTGCCTAGAGCTTCTGGCTGTCCTCAAAGCATTGAAACACTTCTCGAATCATCTCAAGGGGCAATGGGTGAAGATAAGGACGGACAACTCCACTGTGGTATCCTATGTCAATCACCAAGGGGGTACCAGGAGCTGCAAGATGATGGAAATCATGAATCACCTGATGTGGTGGACTCAGAGAAACCTGGCGGGCCTTACTGCCATCCATCTACCAGGGAAACGGAATCATCTGGCGGATTTTCTCAGCAGATCCAGGATAGATCCGGGGGAATGGTGCCTCTCGGACAGAGTATTCCACTTGATTGTGGACAAATGGGGTCTCCCTCAAGTAGACCTTCTAGCCACTCGGGCCAACAGGAAAGTAGAGCTTTTCTTCACGAAAGAAGACGACCACCTAGCACTGGGGAGGGATGCTTTATCAAGCCCCTGGAGGTTCAGGATGGGCTATGCTTTTCCCCCATTTCCACTAATTCTCCCGCTCCTGAGGAAGATGAGAACAGAGCAGGTGTCTCTCATCCTGATTGCGCCTTATTGGCCTCGAAGACCCTGGTTTCCTCTGCTTCAAAGTCTTTTGGTGGAACCTCCTCTCCCACTCCCCAGAACTCCGGATCTTCTGTTCCAAGGTCCTGTGTTTCATCCAAATCCGGTCTCTCTCAATCTCATGGCTTGGAGACTGAAAGGAACCGGCTTTTGAGTAAAGGATTCTCCCAGGACGTTATAGGCACTATGCTGAAGGCACGTAAGCATTCCACTTCGGCCACTTATTATAGAGTGTGGGAAGTTTTCTCTGACTGGGCCCTTCACAGGAACATTAATATTCAAGATCCTTCCTCCTCTAATATTTTGGAGTTTCTGCAGTCTGGGCTTGCTAAAGGGCTGAGCTATAACACTCTCAAGGTGCACGTCTCAGCCTTGTCCGCTCTAACCAATCATCGATGGGCACTGGACGCGGATGTCATCAGATTCATCAAAGGAGTCCTTCAGATAAAACCTCCTATTAAACCATTTGTTCCATCTTGGAATCTCCCTTTGGTCTTGAATGCCTTAAAGTTGGAACCTTTTGAACCATTTGAGACAGTTCCTCTTCATGCTCTCTCTATTAAGACTGCTTTGCTGATTGCCCTAGCTTCCGGCAGGAGGGTTTCTGAGCTCCACGCTCTATCCATTAAGGAGCCTTTTACGGTCTTTCACAAAGACAGAGTTGTCCTCCGTACGGTTCCCGAATTTCGACCTAAAGTCACCTCCTCCTTTCACATCAACGAGGATATTGTTCTTCCATCTCTGAGGTCTGACTCCCTAGAAATGGAGAATGCTACTAACCTATCTTCTCTGGATCTAGTAAGATGCCTCCAGATATATATTAATAGGACTTCTGCTTGGCGTACTTCTCACAGTCTTTTCGTCCTTCATGGCGGCTGTAAAAAGGGCTCACAAGCTCCCAAATCTACCATTAGCAGGTGGATAGTAGCAGCTATTATTTTGGCTTATCAATCTGCTGGATATCCGGTCCCTGTGGGTCTTAAAGCCCATTCCACGAGGGCTCTCTCATCTTCCTGGGCAGCTGCTGCTAATGTTTCTCCTGAACTCATTTGTAAAGCAGCTACATGGTCTTCCTCTAACACTTTCATTAAGAGCTACCAAATTGATGTTAGAGCAGGTATATCTGATCAATTTGCTAAATCAGTTCTGTCTGTATCCGATACCTGATTTCTATTTTTTCACCTGTTGTGGTGTTAATACACTTTGCATTCAAAATTTTGGAGTCTGTGTCTCTTTCCCTCCCTGGTTTATTGCTTGGGTATTACCCAATGTTGTGCTGCCATGGATATGGCCAGGAAAATGGAAAATTTATTCATACTTACCGTAATTTTCTTTTCCTGGTCATATGCCATGGCAGCACAAGGGTCCCACCCGGGCTATTGCTGGAAAACATGACTGGGGAAGGAGGGGTAGGAGGTGGTACTTATACGGCTTAATTATTATTCCTGTCCAATGGGGATAGGGAGGAGCTACCCCCAATGTTGTGCTGCCATGGCATATGACCAGGAAAAGAAAATTACGGTAAGTATGAATAAATTTTCCATTATATATATACACACACACACACACACATATATACATACATATATATATATATATATATATATATACAATGTGTGTATTATTATTATTTACAAAGATATTCATATACATGTATACGAGGTCTGTCAGGAAAGTGTCCAGCCATGTAATATGAAAAATATATTGGACATTTATTGAAGGAGATACAAGAAATATTGAACATAGGACAAAGACACCTCAGACCCCTTCAAAGTAAGTACCTTGGGACCTCACACTGTTCAAATCACTCTGCAAAACCCTTTGTTGGAATCACCATCAGCTGCCTCGTCATATTTACCTGAAATCTCTTCCAATTCAAACATGATGTTTTTGGGAAAAGCCATAAGTCGCAGGACACCAAATCTTCCAATAGATTCTTGACCATCTTTGAAGTGTTTTTTTTATTTGCACTGCACTCGTTACATCACCCAGTTGAGTCATAGGTGTTTTAATTTATCAATAAATAAATAAATTTAAAAAAAACAAAACACTTTAGACACAACAGGGTAAACTCTTAATCCTGGACTGGTAGGGGGTACTTGATAATTTGGTTGGGAACCCCTGGTTTAGATAATTCATCACGGTCAGTGGCTGAGCTCTGTGCATACATCTGATAAGGAAGCGTTTTTCTGGCATTGAGAGGGTGTGGCTAAAGAGGCAGGCTTATGGTGCAGCACCCTGTAATTTTTTTTCTTTTTAATGCAAAACAATAAAAGAGTATAGAATGAGACCAAACCCTGTCAAATGTATTAACGTTGTATTGGTGGTCTGAATGACCCTCCATTTTTTGCATAAAATGTTTGCATCTGAAGTGGAATTACAACCTTCCCTTTCTTTGAATACAAACAAGTTATATTTTAGGTAGCGTGACATTTTAATGATTTAAAAACAAAAACAAAAAAAACCCTTTTTTTCTTTAAAGCCACTAGAATCCAGTAGGACTTCTGCAAGGAAGAACTTGTACATCTGATAACATATGCAAATTAAAGCTATTTTTATTTTCACAAATCTGGCAGACCGTATGTCTGGTTTAACTATTTTTCTAGAATGCACCACTGTGATATTTGGAGGGAGAACGGTCTTTCATATACCACCCTTAGAGATAACCTCTATAGGCAGAGATTAGAATATAAATACAATACTAAAACAATTGTCCTATTCTAAATTGACATATTTGGTAATCAATATTATGCATTGTAAAGATACGTAAATCCCATCAGAAATATTCCCAGTTTAAATAAGACAAGTAATTTAATCCATTAATCTAAAAATCAGATGGAGGTTTCCCATTTAGAATTACAATTGGAGAAAGAAGCCATCATTGGTGAGGAAAAATTAGGGTGGGCAATGCAGTCAATTCAATGTCAGTCACTAATTGATTTCTTATAACTATCACGCCAGAGATGCATTTGATCCATCTTCTCCAACGATTATGCCATATGTATTTGGATCTCTGATCTATCAAGGATGGCTGAAAATATCAGATAAACAGCTACAGCGATGAGCACAAATAATTGACAGAGTGAAGCAAGCCAATATGACTGTAGCAGAGAATCATGAAACACCCCATTGTTTATGCAGCTCATCCCCATGTTCTATAGACAAATTGTTTTGCTTCCTACTTGTTATTTTCTTGTACAATCTGTTCAAAACCACCTGTTTCTCTTCTTTTCCAGATTCAGTCACACAGTATTCACACCATTCATAGTCTCGTGATTTAATTTTTAATTTAAAATGTTGAGTGCCTGCTTATTTTTCATAGAAGGTCACTTTATTCTTCACCTCGGCAGGCATTTGACACCTTGTTTTGTGCAGGGGAAAAAAAAATATATAGTATGAATTTACACAATTCCCCAGTGCAGCTGCTGTATCCAAGGACATGATGCTACCACAGCAACAAGTGCTGTGCTACTGCCTCTAGCAACAAAGATATTTAACCCCATCAGTGACAAAAATCACCAGTGCATTTTACTGAAACGCCATGCAAATTCTTACAGGCAAAAAATGGGTTAAAGCAGACCTATCCCACTTTGTGGCTGCTTTTCTTTTCCTTCTGTGACTTTTTATGCAGCTCGTTACCATGCCAGCAAACCATTTGTTGGAAGTGGCAACATTATTTGATGTAATTCAGAAAACTGCAAAGCCATTGTGCTCACATCTATTCTTGTCTCTACAGAAGCTGATGCCTGTTCAGCTTAACAGCAAAATGGTGAAGCGTTCCTTAATTAAGGGTTCACTTAGATCCCCCATATGATTTCTTTTGTAGGAAGAAAAGAACATAGTAAACTGAATCTACAGCACAACTTAACCCCTTATAATCAATACAATGGAATGTTACAATAAAATATGGAAAAACCTAATATGCTGGTAGAGGGGATACTTGCCTATTCCTAGGTAGGGAATCCAAGTTCTACCAAAGCAAACCTAACACCCCTCCCCCATATGTTGTTAAACTAATCAGCCTTAGTTACAAACCTTTACTTTAAAAATTGATTACAGACTACTATGGTATACAGCAGCACATTTTGCAATCAAGGTGGCCTGTGGGTTAGAGCTCACAGGAATAGTCATATTCCTACCCGCCCAATGTAAATCTATGGCATAATTTCTTAAGTTTAAATTTACATGTTCTGTTGCAAACTATTATCTGTAAGAGTAATTCTGGGATAAACAATTTTCACTAACCGATACTTGTTTATTACTATGATGATGCGGTCTCCCCTCCAACAAAAAATTTTTTTTTTAAACCTATACCAGCCACCCTTAACCTTTTTTTGGGAAGTGATCAGCTATTTAGCTGGTGGTGATCTATTCTCCAATTGTAATATTGTGCCACTATTGCATTCTATAGTTGGATATATAAAAATTAAATCATTAGTTTATTCCTATCAAATGAGTCTTCAGAGAAGGCTGTAGTACTACTATAAACAATTCTGAATACGACCCTATCGATTCAGAGCCACTGAAATGTATATAGGAAAACAAATGTAAGTTTCAGTTGTTTTAACATGGCAACAGCACTGGTAATATGTCTGTTCATTACAAGTATAGGATACAGTTTGGGGTTTCTTCTATTAACTTGCATACAAGATGCTTTCTCCATTAAATCATTTCAAAACTTCTGTTTTAAGGTGTTCATGAAACTAAATTGTCAGTTATACATGTCAAAATGAATGGAGATTTAAAGGGACACTGCTTCTCAAATAAAAAAACTAGCACAGTTTAGTAGAGTACACCAATGAAAACATGCATGCAATTAGTTTTGCATGTTTGTCATTGCAGATCTCAACAAACACCACACAAAACATTTCAACAAACTAATGTGCTTTAGGGTCTGGAGTGTCCCTTTAACCATAACTTGAAACAATCGCAGTATTAAGATCTTTTCTTAATAGATTAATTGCTTCATGATTTATAGCAAAGTAAAATAGAAACGAATAATGCGAACTGACAATCACAAAACAGGATGCCATTTGAAGATTTTTTTTTTGTTAAATATGTTGTGATTTGTAAAGGTGCAGATTTATTTGTTTATACATTTATACTACGACGGTGCAGATTAAATTTCTTTTTTACATTTATAGTATCTATAGTGCTTTCCTTTAGCACTTAAGTACAAAAAAACCTTTTTGAAAAAATTTTGTTTTAAAAAACCTTTCATATGGACATTTAATATTTGTTAAATTACCTCTCAAGAGTTGTAAACTTTAGCAAACCTCAATTGAAGACTATGTTCAACATCTGACCTTGGTTATTAATTTGTTGATTAAACATCTTACTACACTTGGATAAGACAAAATAAACATCACCAGGTCCATCTAGGTTTAACCCTTTTTGCTGTAAACATATCAGTTTCAAAGAAACTGCTATGTTTACCTATGGGTTAATCCAGCCTCTAGTGGCTGTCTCATTGAGAATGCTTTCCTATGGACTGGCTGAATGCGCATGCGTATTCAGCCGATGATGGCGAAAGGGAGGAGAGTACCCCGCACCGAGGGAGCCCAGTGGGGGAAGACAGGTTTGAAACATTCAAATGTTAAAAAAAACTACTTCAAATTGTCATTCTGGGATGGATAATTTGAATTCTGTGCATATTGGGTGTCTGTTCGCGCACACAGCATGCTGGCAAAAGGCAACCAATGACAGCATAGGTCAGCAAGAGTTACTCCTACCAGAAAACACTTAATAAATAATGTATTTCCTAACATAATGCCCATTTTCAGAAATCTAAAACCAGCAATGAATATTAGCTTCTCTGTTGTGGTATTCCATTCCCCTATGGTAGGATCACTGGGGTTTTTCAGCTGGAGAGCTATGAAACTATAATATAATTAGTAATGGGTGATTTTGTTTTCCCTTTAATGCATGTTCTGGATAGTTCTTTCAATTTCGCTTCAGTTAACAGTAAAAAAAAGTATCTGAGCATAGCTGTGCACTCAATACACAGGTGTGTTTGAAAAAGCAATGTGCCATGAACTATATTAAATAGCATTACAACTGTAAGTTGTATACCCAACGTATAGTTATTGAGGTTATTCACTAAAGAGAGAATTCCGGAGAAGTTAATTTAAGTTTAAGGTCAAAATAGCCAAACTGGAAACAAAAATAGATTTGAAGATTTTTCCCAAATTTGGCCTAAAATGTGAAATTCATCCATAGGTTTAGCATAGTATGAACATATGGTTGAGCCAATCCTCAGACTATTCTTTTTAGACAGCTCTTTAAGTAGGCTTGAAATATTTAAAAACTGGTTATGGCTTTCTATTGGAAACCTGGAGGTAACCAGCACAAATAGGTTAGCAGTAAATCTTACCATTGTAAATTCTAAACATTCCAACTGATATCTGGATTTTGGGCTTATTTCAGACAAATTCAAAATGATAAATTTGGCTCTAAACACAATGAGAACACAATCATGATTTCCCAATATGTATCCTGTGGGGTGGGAAGTCAAGTAAGATTTGATTAAAGAACAAAATTATCAAACCAGAAATATAATGGGTAACATTTATACAAACTCTTCCCTATACCTTTGTTCAGATATTCCAATATTGTATGTTTCACACTGTAACCTGTTCTTATAAGTTTACTTTTAGACTTTTTGATGTGACAATTCCATATAAAGACTGTGCAATTAGACTCAAGTTCAAAATTAAACCAGGTGGGTCGAAATAAATTCCACACTAAATTGATGTCAGTGTGTGTACAGTCTCGTTTTCCTTCTAAAATAACAGTTGACTCCAAGATTTATTTTTTAGCCACTTTACTCCCTACAATCCAGACTTTGGTTTTGGTGTAGGTAGCCATACGTTTTAATTTCTTTTCTTGAAATGAATTCCTTACATTGAGTAATAACATTTTGGTAATACAGGTATACAATTTAATGATTTAATCTGCATTTTGTTTTGTCTTACAAGATTTATGTTGGGTTTTCTTTTTTACAAGTTTAAGCCAGAAATATAGAACATTCAACCGATTGAGGAAAGTTAAATACATCAATAGAACATAAAAAAAAAAAAAAAAAAAGATAAATCTCACAGTTTTATCTTAACTTGATTAACCAGGTTACATACCTCTCACAATAAAATACATGATTAGCTGTTACAATACACTTTAAAGGAACATACAATTTGTTATAAAATATTTTAATATTTTTTTTTGTTTAATTTATTCACGGCTATATGGATCTGGATCTTTAACCCTTCTGGTAAGGGTAATGAATTACAGTCCCATGGAACCGTGAAGAGTTTATCTTTACATCCTACTTAATTAGCTACACACATTTTGAATACAAGACTAAAAAGGCACCGACAGTACAAAGCAAGTACAAAGCTCTTTAAGTAATCTGTTAAGAGTGCATTTATACGAACACAAAAAGGCGATGACTAGAAAGATTTGACAACTGGTTGCATTTCCAAAAACATTTGCAGCTTTAGAATTTTAGCGTTAGTTTCTGCATCCGCCATTTCTGATCCGAACTATGGCAAATATTCCTCTTTGTAACATACAACCAAAACAGTATTAAACTGGTTAAAAATGAGACTTCAGTAATGGAGCAGAACTGAAATAATGAAGCAAAATACAGTAAATGGTAAACAACTTTTGAGGTGCGTGTAAGGGTAATTTATAATCATTTTAAAAAGGCATTTTTTGCTGTTTAAATGCTCCTGGAAAACTTATTACATGAATGCTGCAATACTTTGATTGGAATGAAAGATGCATTTTCCCTGCTCCAATTTAAACAGAAAAGAGAAAGTCTATGTATCGCATGTATCCTACTGTCAAAATGAAACTTCGCTTCTTGACTACCAGACTTATGTTAGAATTCTCTCAGATAAGAAAAGTCCAGTTCTATAGTGATGGCTGCCATCACAGGCCATTGAGCATGCAATACGTAAACTGGAGAAATAAACCCTGCTTCTGCTTGATAGTGGGTTTGTAATTAAACCAGTAAAATCCTAACCTTGTGAACTACAAATCAAGAATTTTCCGATGACATTGTTCAAGAAATGAAAGAAAATTTATTTCAGAGTTTAAATATGGCTTCTGCTTTCCCTGATAGTCATGTGACAATGTGATCAAGATGATTAAGAGAATTCAGAGGAAAAGAATGGAATATGTTAGTGCATAGATGTTCATTTTGTTTTATTTTGCCATTTAAGGTATGCTAGGTGAAATAATTTGAATATTTAAAAAGAAACCCCTCTTCTATATGATACATTGTGCCCACTATCAAAAAGATGTTTCTCACGTTTGTCAGATGTATCCTGCTAATAATGTGAAACATGCAAAACAATGTTACCCCCTCTTCCTTTCTGTATCCCTTTTACCTTGCAAAAATCAATAAAAACTAAATTTGAAAAAAAAAAAAAAAAAAGAAACCCCTCAACCCCCAATTATCCAAGTTTATGGAACTGCAGATGGGCCCAATGTTATCACCAGGGTCCTAAAGTTAAATAGTTTCTCTAAGTACCTAATATTCAGGCTGTTCTCCATTAAATCAGTTGTAATGCATAACCATCCAGCCAAAAGGAGTCAGAGACAGCAATGGATCCTATTGTGAACAATTATAAAAATGGCAAATACCAAACGCACGGTTATAGAAAGGATTTTAAATAGTTTTTGTAATAAAGTTGCGAAAAAAATGAATGAAACAATTAAATAGCATTAGGCTTGGAGAAAAGCAACAAGCCTGCATTTTTTTGTTCATTCTCTGGAATTATACGTAGTTTGAAATTATGGGAATCTATAGATTTATGGATTGAGCAGTCTGAACTTTTCAGAAGTACATTATAAGCTGAAAAGAAGAAAACACTATGGGTAATGAGGTCAGCACTATGTAGTGGCTGGGTATACTTAATATTGGGATTGAAAAGTGGAATTTATACATCCCTTGGCATTATAGCACAGTTTGTATTTCCTCAAAAGATTAAAGTCTTAATAAAAGGAAAAGAATGCTGGCTTTACATACCTAGTTTGCAGATACCCAAGCTGAACAGCAGCTCTCATGCATTGGGTTGTGTTCAACCAGTCAATAATAAAGCAGACCAGCACATTACAGAAAGAAAAACTTTTGACATGCAAGTATGCAAAAAGCCACAGTGGACAGCTCTTTAGTAGATACAAATATTAAGGACACTAAAAAGTAGTTAGTATGGTAACTTGTTCAGTGTACATGATCATGTGGTAAACCTACTCACAAGGTTACCTATGTTAAGCTCGTTATAGTAAGAAATTAGTCACACAAGTGTCCATCTATGCTGCGTCAAAAAATAAAAATATATTAAGTTAATGAAGAGAATTTTTCAATTTATTTTTTATCAATTACAAGTGCATTATTTTTTTTGTTCATGTTCCTAGGCAGTTTAGACATAGTTCTGCCACAATAAAAGGAAAGCAGACATGGGGTTGGTTCATGGAGAAAGGAAAAAAAGAAAAGTTTAAAATAGAGCTGTTTCATCCTCACAGATTATGGGATAACATTTCATATGAACAATTTAGAGGTAACAAATCTTCTTGTATCATCAATCATAGGCATGTGGCACTTAAGACAATTATCATTGCACAGAAAAGCTTAACAGTCATGCGAGGGCACGGCAATTTTAAACAAGGCATATCTTCCACCAAAGAGGGCAATGAGGAAAAGGTAGAGAGGCACTCCACAGGGACATGACATCTAATAAGCTCCACATTATACAACTCCAGGAACAAATACTTTGTAAAGAAAGGTTTACAGGGTAAAATAAGTGTTTAGTGCTAGCTTGGATGCTTGCTCTAACATGAGGAATGGGATTTTGAAAGCTCAAAAAAAAACTTTACAGCACTGTGGGTTTCAAAGAAATAGATTCTTAAAAAAAATGAAGCATGTGAAATATAATCTAAAACTTTCCCTACAGTCCAGAGAAATACACAACAGTGTCGCTCTATTTCCATGTGTTTGTGTATAATATGGATGTTCCACTGATTGAAAAGAACATGATATAGTTCTAAAAATAAGCTTCATGGTAGCCCATAAGTGAAAATATTCAGTCTCATTATTATGCCCAAAGTTAGTTAAAACGTTTTGGTTTCACCTGCTGTATATTCCTCTGCCCTATAAAATTTCAGTTTCCATGCATGGAACACTCAGACCAATAGGTTGGTGTATAGCACAGATGAACGCCCCCAAGAGATTTCAGTGTAAATGCTAAATCTTTCATCGATAGTTTGACTTTTGCATACACTCTTGTCTACAGGGGGAATATAACTTATCCTACAGGGTCCCTTAACCACACAGGTTGTTAGACATGGCTTGAAAAGCTCTGCTAAGTGTTAGAGAAAATCGGTAACCGTAATTTCATGATCTCCATCAGAATTTCAAAAGTATCCCACTGCAACTGTTTAAAAAGATATGTGCAAGTAAATAGGGCTTTTTCATTGATTTAAAGTGCCCAGAGAAATTACTCTCCCAAATAATAAGTTTAAAAAAAAAAAAGAAAAAAAAAAAAAAAAATTACAATGCCAGTTACCACACTCATCAGAAACATGTGGTTTAAAACACAATATGTAAAGCCCATGAAAGTCAGGACACTTTGTCCAGATAAAGGGAAAGAAACAACTGCATCTTAAAAAAAGAAAAAAAAAGTATATTATAAATGTACAAGCGGTTAATGAAGGTCTCATCAGGTGTGTACTTGCTGCACAACGCTGCAACAGGGCTTTACGAAAGGAGTGTCAAGAACAATTCTCCAGACCAAAAGAATTCATCAGAAGCATAAAAAAGCCACAACTACCAGGAACCGCCTCTCCTTAATGGCTCAAAGGAGTTAAACTGGACAAGCTGAGATGGGTCACAGGACATGGCCAACGAGGAAGAACTGGCAAGAACACAGATGTCTGAGAGTGCGAAGTCCTTCACAGCCTTTACCTTCAACAAAAACAAAACCCCCACAATCAAAACAATGCTTGTTCATTTGAAACTCCTTTCAAAAAGTTTAAAACATTTGTGTTTAAAGCCTGAACTAGCACATTTACATACAGTCCTTCCTTATAGAACATATCTGCAAAGTGCTTTTTAAACAGATTTGGAAACCCAATTAATCTATTTCTACAGAAAACTTAGTACATTTTACTGTAAAAACTACTTTCTAAAGTTATGTTATTGTCATAATTAACATAATTTCCCTTCGTGTTTTCCCTCTAGCCAAACTATACAAGCCCAGTTTTCTCAGCTATATATGCATAAAGAAGGGCCAAGTAAATGTGCCAAAAAAGGGCATGAGGAATCTGCCCACACATTCATACTGTCACTGAATTTCACACTTCTAGCTCTCCCTAGTCATGCCAACTAACAGAGCTAAAAAGTTGGCGAGAAACATGCAACATGCATTTTACTTTAACTTCACAAAGACTCCCGGGAAAATCTGAAAACTAAGAATTTAGAAGTTGTGGATTATAAAACAGAATCATGCAGGAAAAAAAAACATTTCATACAGAAATAAATGATACATAAACAGCAAAGTAAAGTGAAGAGGCTGCAATATTTTGTTGTATGCCATCAGAAAATTATTTATATGGTAATGGTAGGCTGATCACAGTAGTTTGCTGTTTGACCACTTTTTTTTTTTTTAAATTGAATTTAAAAAAAGTGGGGTGTATAAACATTTAAGGTAAAAGAAATGAGGGAAAAAGGCATGAGCATCAGAATGGCTTTACACAAATATATAGATGTGCAACAAAGCATAAACAAACACCACCAACCTGATTCTGGATAATTAGGGGTATCTCAGGGTGTGATTTTTTTTTTTTAATTTTTTTTTTTTTTAAACAAAATCTACTTGTATAATGGACTGAAGTAGTAGCCCAAATTACTTTTCTATCCAATTAGAATGACTGAATTTTCACAAAATAAATCTGAAAGGAAAAATGGAGGAAACTATAGCTGCTATGGAGAAATTCTCTAACTCTGCTTTAGACACAACATGGATATTTTTGCTTCAGTTTTGCCACTTGGATTTTGAAAAAACTTGGGAGTCTTGTGAATTACCCTAAGTGTCATCCTCTGTCCTCCCATAGTCTCTCCCCCTTTTCATTAGTGTGTGTGTGTGTGTGTGTGTGGTGTGCTCGCTGTGTGATCTGAATGCAATGAGAACCGACTGACTGGTACAAGTGTAGTGTGTGTGCGCTGGCTGTATGTATGATGTGTGCGCTGGCTGTATTTAGTTGTTAGGGTGGTACACCAATACACAAACATACTGACAAATCCCCCAACACACATGCACTCACAGATATACACACACAAATTACACAGTCTCACACATAGCAGCTGCCTGGATGTTAAGTAATGGATGTGCAGCCTGGCCCATATTTTATCTACCCATTAACAGCATGTCAGCCTCTGGGATATGACAGCACTCTGAATCCCAGCATCCATAAATCTTGTGCATCATAAGTAGTTGGCTGCTGCCGCTCATCACACCACCCTGTGAGCTATCCATGAGCAGCAGCATCCCGGTATGGCGTTTCTGGGTTGGTCAGCCCAGCTCTGTACCTGCCAGAAATACACTCCCTGCCCAGCACCAATTCCCCCGTAGCAAGTCTAAAAGAATTTAAAAAACAAAACAACTTTCTGCACAGTGCGCAGAACTGCTTGTCCAGGGTCGCAGAATATAAATTCGACATCCCTAGGTACTGCAATACCTGTGCTCAGATTATGGTCAGTATCCTGGCTGGAATCTAGCAGTTTCTTCAAAAATAAGCTCTTTCAGCGTCTCCTTGGGCAAATCATCCAACTCCATTTCAAATTTAAATGGTGCTTCAGCTACAGGCTATTAAAGAGAACACAGGGTATATATTTAGCATGACATGTTCACTTATACATGATCTTTTAAAAAAATAAATAAAATATATACATTGCATTTGTTTCTGGACACGAGTGTGACATTAAAATCCTACAAAATGCTACATTCAGTATTAGTTTCACGATTATGGAGTTGCTCAACCACAATCAAACGTGAGCAGTTAAACTTGGAACTTCTAAAAAGTTTCAGTGGGGGAAAAAAAAAATAAACAAAATCAATCAACTTATACTACATAGTTATTGGTAAATGAAAACAATGTTTGTGGAGGTCTACATGCTACAAATATCCACATGAGCTCCCACCCAATTAAAAAAATAAACAAAAAAATAAAAGTTATCAGAGGATGCAGTGTGTGAGCAACATGAATTTGTCAACTTTGCCTATGTTGCTTTAGATATCTTATACACTTGACATTTTTTTCCTTTTTAAGAAATTGAACCAAGATGTTGCCCATCTGTAAAAGCCAAGCACTTAACTAAAATGAAAAGTTCTCTCACTGGCACATGTGAGTAGTTTATAACATGTAAATGGAGACCTCACTCCACCAAATACAATAAAACTATTACAAACAAAACATGTTTAATGCATCTACCCCAAATGAAAACAAGCATGCATTTAATTTTTTTAAATTTTTTTTTATTGGCTGAATATCTAAAAACAGCTTGCAAAAGCTGCAGTTTTCTTGTTAGAAACTTTTGCAAGCCCTCCAATTATAACCCCACCAAAATTTTGACACTGTCCAATCACAGACTTCCCAATGCAGCTCAATGAGAAGTCTTTCCAAGGCAGGTACTCTGGGCAATTGTCTGCCTTTAACCCAATGTGAGACATGTCATGATTCCCTTTTATTCCAGAAGTCTGGTCCTAAAGGGGTTAAAGTTTCACAAATAGAGAAGCGTTTGCCTACTAGTATCATTTTAGCTAAAACATAACATTTAATATATTGAATAAAAATATTGCTATTAGTGAATCAAAAGGTAAACCAAAAGAAAATTTAATAAAAATATCAATAATATAAAGCAAAAAGGTATAAAGAAAAAACTATACCAGATTATCAAAAAACATTTAAATAAAAGGCGCCTGACCAGCTAAACGCGCGTTGGGGTTCTGCACTAATCTTTGGCAATTACTACTTAAAGATTTTCTGTTTAGAATTTAGACCTTGGACATGATGTTTTACCAGAGTTGTATAGGCAGGGCACATTCATAACTTATTCCTTCCTAATAGTGCATACTTCAGATTAGTAGATAGCTTTTTGACATAGAATAGGTGCCCTCTAAGGCACAGCTTAGAAGTTTACAGCACCATTTAGGGAATTAAGTTATGTACCGTGATTTTACTTTTTTTTTCTTCTGGTACTAGTAACAACCTTGGCTGAGTTCTTTCTGTTAGAGTTAAGAACCTTAGAATAGTGATTCAAACTGTTCCATTCAAGGAAAATTGCAACAACTGTATCTTACAGACTGATAACATTGTTATATCTACTTAACTCAACCCCAGTTTTCGCTTTACTGGCATCTCTTAACCCCTTAAGGACACATGACGTGTGACATGTCATGATTCCCTTTTATTCCAGAAGTTTGGTCCTTAAGGGGTTAAACACTACAGATTTTTATACCTGGGCTCAATCTGCAATTCCAGCAATATACCAATGGATTATTAATCTTACATACATTTTTTCTTTTTATAAACACCCATCATCTTATGTTTTTTGATACTCTGGTATAGTTTTCTCTTTATACACCTTTTGCTTTATATTATTGATATTTTTATTAATCAAATTTTCTTTTGGTTTGCCTTTTGATTCACTAACAGCAATATTTTTATTCAATATATTAAACGTTATGTTTTAGCTTAAATGATACTGGTAGGCAAGCACTTCTCTATTTGTTATTCTCTATCTAGAGTTACCCCCTTTCTCTTGCCTTAGAATCTAAGACCTTCCTTGTTCCTACCCTTCACCCACAAAATGCCGTTAAAGTTTAGTTTCACTGAACCAACCAAGTAAAAGGACGGGTTGTCTAAGAGCTAGGGGGTTGTATCAATGTTAATTTACAAAAGTGCCAATTTCTATAGTAACTTGAGCTTTATTTCTTTTTCATTTTACAAAGAGGACACAAAGTATTTCAGCAAGGGCTTTAGGTGTTTGGTGTGGTCATTAAGGCACCACAGCAACAGGTTTAGTGAATACGCCTTTATACCTCTGGCAAATGTGAACAAAAAGCCTGTGCATTCAGGTAAATTTAAAGTGACACTATCAGCACTAACACTTTAATCACATTAAAGTGGCTACAATATCTAGAACCCTTAGCACAGTCGCGCCATTAATTGTTACGCAATTATATATATATATATATATATATATTTTTTTTTTTTTCTTTTCTTTTTTTTTTCTTTTACAGTAAATGAGAATCCCCAGCAGTCCTTCACGTCTGTGCCGCTCAGACTAACGAGGAAGCATTAGCCTGAGTAGCAATGGGCTGTGGTGAGAGTCCACTGACTGCTTTTTTCACACTACTGTATGAATTGGTATGACTAAAAGGTAGCACAAGTGGGGGATGGGTTATGGGACGCCAGCATCATTTTAATGTCAAAATGCTCAGAAAAAGGGACAGCGACAAGAGGTTTCAGGCACTATAACCAGTTCAAAGAGATGAAATGGTTATACTGCCTATTGTATCCCTTTAAATAAACTAAATTTTCCACATCTCCCTTAAATCCACATTTTTAATTGCAAGACATTTTAAAGGGACAGTATAGTCACCAGAACTACAGCGTTTATTGCATTTGTTCTGGTGAGTAGAATTATTCACTTCAGGCTTTTTGCTGTAAACACTGTCTTCAGAGAAAATGCAGTGTTTACATTACAGCCTAGTGATAACATCACTGGCGACTCCTCAGATGGCTGCTAGAGCTGCTTCCTATCTCAGTCTTGCCTAGTTTGAATCACAACATTCAATATCTCCTCCCTCTGCATGCAGACACTGAACTTTCCTCAGAGAGTCATTGATTTAATTCATCTCTATGAGGAGATGCTGATTGGTCAGGGCTGTGTTTGACTTGTGTTGGCTCTGCCCCCTTCCCAGTCTAAGCCAATCCTATGAAGAAGCATTGTGATTGGCTCAGAAAACTTCTGATTATGTCAGCAGACAGCTTGCTGTCCTGAGGCAAACAGGGACAAAACCAGCAGCTGAAGGCTTGAATACAAGTAAGATTTTACTATATTTAGCGAGGCGAGGGGGGGGGTCGGGGAGAATAGATGGTGGTTTTAACACTATAGGGTCAGAAATATATGTTTGTGTTCCTGACCCTGCTAGGTTAAAAAAAAAAGAAAAAAGAAAAAATTTAATGAAAAAAAAATACAAATTAAGGCAAACATATTCTATTGTGCTTTACAGCAGGGATGCAAGGCAGAAACACAATGTGAACAGAAACCAAGATGACCAGGTCCCTGCTCAAATTTCCAATGGTCAAGGTGCAATTACACATTGAATGAATAAAATAATCAAAGATAGTATTTCCTCAAGTCAATAGTAATTGCAATGCAAGATGCTCACTTTAAGTATGCCTTTAAATTTAAACTAGCAAAGTGTTTGGAGAGACTTGACCTGGTGTTGGGAGGGGGAAGGGGAGGGAGAGAAGGAGGGAAAGGGCGAGTCGGATAAGAGGACTGTGACATGTTTGTGTTTTATTTCTAAAGCCTATTAAAAAAAAAAAAAAATATGAAATTGTAGTTACAAAATAATTATGCAATACCTTTGCCAATTTGACCTTTTTACAGATAATGTTAAGTCCTACCTAAATTCACACGAGTGAGCTTTAACAGTTTGTAAATATCTGAATTCCAGCAAAACCATCCACACCCTGTTAATTCAGCAACTAGTTTATGTTGAAAAGGAAATGTGGCCTACAGAAAATGACCCATTCAACATCTTCCAGGTGAAGGAGAAGACCGAAACCAGTTGGTGTAAATTTTAGTGATAAGGTGTCATGTCATGGAGCTCTGCAGCATTCTCCAAATCAGGAGTGTGAGGATCGTGGGATTTAGAGATCAGTAAGGTGGGCTTGGTGAAGAATGAAATAAAATACTGGGGTAATAAACAAAATCTATAGACGAGGCAAAGGGAGAAAAAAATAAAATAATTTCTTTGCCTGGATAGTGAAAGGGAAAACCGATGGAATATTTGAAATGGGAAGGAATATATGAAAATGGAAGGACCGGATTTGAAAAAAAAGTTTACAAAATAAAAAAACATTGATTTCCTGGCCTTGGCGCTTGGTTCTTCATAGAAGAGAAGCACATTTGATGGATGACCCAATCCGGGCCTACCAAAGACCTGAGGCCTTCGGCTTGATGGTCCTTATCAGAATGATGATAGTTTTATGGAGTTTATTTTCACTACGGTTGTGGGCATTCCCTCCAGCTTGGTGTTGCGCCTTTCTTTTTCTGTGTGTGCTTTACTTAGGTAGGATGAATGCATAAAATGGCAGAAAACTTTATGATATTGTGTACAATGGTGTATTTATGATCTAAAATTCTCATTTGCCGTTTAAGAGAAAATAGTTGATTCCTGCATAAACAGAAATCCAACTTGAATATAATGAAGTTACCTCATCACTTGGGTCATAATACTGCTCCAGATAAGGGTGAGCCAAAGCAGCTTCTACTTCAATTCTTTTGTGGGGATTGAAGGTCAACATTTTATCCAACAAATCCAAGGCTAGAAAAGAAAACAACAAAGTGCTGCTTACATGTTGCAAGCCTCATTCAATATCCTATGGTATTTTGGTATGGCCACTGTCTGGACATTTCAACACTGCTTTGAAATTTCATGCAAGGAATATAAGGCAACGTGGCATACCTAACTCTAGTGGTTCCCAAACAAGTGACAGCACATCTTTGGTACGATTATATTTTATCCATGTTACATTTAAATGTAAGATAAGGTCATGTACATTATTAGCAACACAAAACAAAATATACATTCATGGCTGGAAAGTTCAAGGCACAGTAGGGTTGAATCTCTACTTGACAAAACAAGAGACTTCCTTTTTATTAACGGTTTCAAAAACAAAAACAAAACAAAAAACGGATGAAACCCCAGGCACCTGGTCAACTTAAATGCATATAAAAAAAAAAAATCTGCAGAACTTGCTTCATTTTCAGGTTCTGCATTCAACTCAAGAAGTCAGAGATTTTGACATACTGCCATGAACAATACTGTCAGGTGCACTAGTGTTGAATTTTGTGCAAAAGCTTCCAGTGCAACAATTTATACCTCAGAAGATTCCACTAGACCGCATTAAAACTGTCTCACATGTATGTAACCAGGATGCCACGATAATTATAAAAAAATACCTTTTCCATGGATCTCAGAATATTTTCTCTTAGGAGAAGCTGAGCCAAAAAGTAAATTCCATTAGCTCCCCATTATGTTATTAACTCTGCAACAATGAAGCCTCACGTGTAGCAAAGCAACTGCCATTTTATAGCTATTCTTTGCCCAAGTACTAGAGGTGAAATACTTTGAGTGACTACTATATTAACATCTGAGCAAACCAAGTTTACTTGGATTTCTTATTATCTAGTCAGATTTGGTTTTAATCAAGTCAAAGTTTCTATCTCAATACATGAATGCAAAGAAATATAATTTTAACAACCAGTAGCTCAAATCTCCCACATGTAACTTTACAACATTTACTCACACTATTAAAACCTGCCTCAAAGCCCACGCTCCTGTCCTGGGCCACTTCAATTTCACAGTGTTTTGAACATAGTGACATGTTTGAGGTGTCATTCTTTGAAGAACTACATGGCTGCAGTATCAAAAAGGCACAAACTATAAACACACGGTCATGGTTACTAAACTATCAACTATTTCCATAGCACTATTTCATCTGGAAACAATAATAGGAATTTATGTGGGAAGTACTCATTTTTAAAGTGTGACAAAAGCGATATTACCTTTGGGATCTGCATTAGGAAACAGTCTATTCCATGGCACCTTATTTTTGTGCGGTAGAGAAAGCAAATAGTTTCTAGCTTTCAAATTGATTATACAATTGAGGTCCTCTTGTGAGGGAGATCCAAGAATGCCTAAAAGAGTAGATAAATAAAAAGATGTGTCGTCCTCCAACAATATACATTTCTATAATCTTTTCCCTTTGTTGGGCTTACCAAGAATATGATTGAGCTGATCAAGATAATGTTTCCCAGGGAATATGGGTCGGTTGGAAAGCATCTCAGCCAGAATGCAGCCAACAGACCAAATATCAATTGACTTGGTGTAACCCTGAAAACAGGAATATATTAGCAGAAAACATACACTGCAGAGGAAATGGATAGAACAAGCATTCAGCAAAAAAAAAAAAAAAAAAAAAAAGTTAGATCCAATGAATATAACAATGTTTCTAGTTTGCCTAAATAGTCAGTCTAATGTTCAGAATACAAGTCATTGACTGTTTTGCCAATATACGTTATAGCGACCTGCAACCCTGGCACATCCATGGCACCTTCACTAGTATAAAAAATAAAATTAAAATAAAATAAAAACTCAACCTTTTTGTAGGCTATTATTTATATGTCATCTAATTTTAGTCTACACGGATTTAACAGGCTACATTTACAATAAACACTAACTAGTACAGCATTCAGTGCTAGACTATTGATGCTAAGGACTCCACGCAGGTCCTCAAATGTAATCTGTAATAAAAACTTTTACATGTGTCTGCTGATTACATCAGATTAAGATGCTGACACAGACCTCATGCAAACGTGGAGGAATACAGTTTGCATTTAGCTTCAATAATCCTATCAAGGATGCAACTGCTGCACATTTCCCCACTTTTTCACTTTTTTTGGTTAACGAATATTATATACATACACAGACATACAAAAACAGAGTGAAATAATTTGTTTAAGACATGCGCATAGTTTTACAGGTACCGTGAGTAATTTTGGATTGATTTTAGAAAAATTCATACAAGCTTTAACTCTTTGCACTTCAAAAGTAAACAATGTTCTAGCAAACCCCTTGATGGTAAATCTAGGCTAAAATGTGTGCTCTTTTACATTACTGCAATGCTGCTCCCTGAGTGAGGATGAAATGGAGCACAATGACTGGAAGGTACTTTTCTGGTAACGATCAATTTATTTTATTCATGCGTACCCACGTTTACGGAGAAGAGTATGCTACCAGGCAAATGAATACTGGTCTCTGCCAATGTACAATCTCCAGCAACTGTTCTTACTGCAGCAGGATATTATTCCTCACAAGGGGTACTGTTAACATTCTCATAAGCTCATTTGGCAAAGTCCTCCACTGCATTTAAAACGCAGCATACCAACAGTCTTGCTCCTAACCGTCAAGCTTCCGCTTTACTCTATCGGTTATTAGACAGCAGAGACCCTGCCGTATGTCAGCCAAGCTGCTCAGCTGATGTCCCTTTCATAATGGCGAAATACTGAGTGGGATGAAGTGTGTTTATTTACACTGAGTGTGGGGTATTTACATGATGCATACATTTATGTAGAGAAGAAATATGAGCACTTTAGCAAATCTCTGTACAATGAATATTCTTAAATTGTCTTTGAAAAAGAAAAACAAACATCCTTAATTTTTTTTTTTAACAGCAACCTATGCTCTAGATCAGTGGTCCCCACAGACAATCAACAGTCCAGGTTTTGTCCACTTCTCCATTTGAATAAAAAAAAAAATATATACATCAATCCTGGACAATTGGTGGTCAATGAGGACTGGTTTGGGGACCACTGCTCTAGATAGTCATAATGTGCAGTAACACTGGTCCTGTATATATATCCAAGTTTCATATATGTAAAAAGCATAAGCTATCCTTTCTACAGATCAGCGAGATGTGGAAGTGTCATTACCTTGGAATTCAACATGATCTCAGGAGCTCTGTACCAGCGAGTGGCAACATACTCTGTCAGAAAACCAGTGTGATCATGATCTGGGTCAGCAACACGGGCTAGCCCAAAATCACAAATCTGTTTACAAACAAAGAAACAGCGTGAAGGTTTCAAAAGAAGTAAACATACAAATCGATATGTGTATTAAAATACAAAGCTGGAAAGCATATCAGTTGGATGTTTTAGATGTTTATATGATTTAAAAAAAAAATAAAAAAATCAGAACAAACACTGCATTCCTCACAGAATCAAATTCCCGGGACTCTGGCTCAAAACTACCTGTGGAGAAAATACAGTGCATCAAAACCATTAAGATATGAAGCATATTCATGTGTTCCAATATTCTTGGACAGAGATGAATAAAACCAATAAATCAGTTGGGCTGGTGTGAGGCTCACAGAGGTGTAACCTTTAAATGTTGCAACATGAAAGTCTGCCTATTGCTTACATCTAAAGTAAAAAATGGTTTTGGGGGGAATAATATTTTTGAGAAGAAAAATAATCACTTTGTGGAGGTGGCCTTATTACAGCAACCGTACAAGTACGCATTTCTGTAGATATAAAACAAGAGTTTAAATCTGCTGTCCGTGACCGATGATTTCTGGTATGAACTGAGCAGCCGTTCCAAATCGCTACTTTGATGCCGCGTATGTACCATAGTAACTAGAAGTGCATCTATTGTCAAAGGGACACTACAGGTACCCAGAAAACTGTGTCTCAAGATTAAGATATGATCAGCGCAGAGTGGCATTCTGCTGCACATGTGCACTAGCCTCCCAATGTGTTCCAATGGAAAGCGTTAGATTTGCTGAGAACACAGATCTTGATGACAGGACAGCAGTGCGTTAAGTAAAACTACTTTAATTTTCTCCCTACAGGTGTGGGCTGGGAACCTAAGTGGCCACCAGGGAAATATATCTTTAGTAATAAACGGGTGTAAATTTCACCTGTTTCATCTCAAGCTATTTTTACATCGTATTATACCCCTGCTACATAAATGACCACTCTTTAGCAAGCAAATTTATTAATCAACAATGCTTTACTTAATGGCTGTGTATACTTGTCGACGCTGTACAAAGCCTGTTCCCGTAAATTTACAGAATTTGCCTACACATTGTTAAATAGGAAATTCAGCTAGTACCTTGCTTCCTGCTTTACACAATCTCATCTATGCGCTCATCTAAACTGATTTCTAACAGTTTAAGCCCCAAAGCAAAGCTTTCATAGTAAAGATTGACATAGCCTTTCCATTTTTGTTATTCTAAAACTTTTTACCAAGAAGTATGGAAAACCGGACTTCTTACTTTCTGAAAAAGCATCAACACTGAAAACAATTTGAAACTGCCTGCCTTCATACCTTGAGATCACAGGTAGTGTTAAGCAGTAAGTTTGAAGGTTTCAAGTCACGATGCAGAACATTGGCTGAATGGATGTACTTCAGTCCTCTCAGGATCTGGTAGAGAAAATAACAGATGTGGTCGTTGCTAAGGTGCTGTGTCTTCAGAAGCTTGTAAAGATCTGTCTCCATGAGATCCTGAACAATGTACCTGAAAGATTTTTAGTTAAGGTTGCAAAACATCATCCCTACATTTTGTGTGTGAACCTGCTAATTTCTACAGAAATCTTTATCAAATTGTGTTTATTCAATTTTTATTTTGAATACTTACATCAATCTCCTTATTTCCAGCCAGGTTGAATGCCTGCCTGGTGCCCATGCAATTTGACAAACTTATTTGTTTTAGTCACTTCATCTCGTTGAAATATTTACTTGTAATAATATGGCAAATCTGTTTCCCCGATGGGATACACAGATTCATTTTCCAGTGCATGCCCTATAACAAAATGTTGCAAACGGCCCTAATTCAATGTGAGATGAACTGGAACGATGAGTGGTGCATCTTAAAATGTGTTCTACTCATTGTAGATAAAGACTTCAATTTCTGTGAGACTACAGTTTGTCTGAAATACATTTATATATATTTCCTTTATATGGAGAACCCATCTTATTTATTCACATCTGGGCATACTGGCATCAACAGTTAAAGTTTGTGTCAAATGACAATCAGAATAATACCAATAATTGAAAATATACATGTGACGAAGTGCCCTTCGCCACTTGGTCCTGGAGAGGCCTACTTGCCAGCCTCCTCCCCTGTGACTATGACTCTTATGTATCTGGCTTTAAAGCTCCTAGTCTACCTTCAGACAGACTATTTATGTAGGCTGCTTTATTTATCTTATGTTTTAGTCACCCTGTACCCATTATAGGTGCAGGGTGTGTGTAATGTAATTGTCTGTTTATAGTGTGTGTGTGTGTGTGTGTACTGTGTAATGTATTGCCTGCTCTCTTGTATTGCTGAGGTTTGCTACCAACTAGGTGGGTTTGGCTATGGAGCTTGTCTAGTGCCCTCTGTTGGTAGCAACAGCAATATGCACTACCTGAATTGCAAGACATGGTCATTTGCATATTCGGGTAGATTTGCATATTGCTAATTCTGCAGGCAGGTGAGATATTTACTGTTAAATATTGTCTCCCCCTACCCCTTTAAAAATGTGCCATTGTGTTGTGATAAGTCACTGTGTGTTGCTTGATTTGGTTTGACTGTTTGTGATTTTATTGAGTTTTCACAACAATGTTATTGTGGTGACCTATTGGCTGGTCCCAAGGGAATAAAGGTTTTGACAGTTCTTCTTGATCCCTCTAAATGTAGCCTTGTCTCGTTATTGGAGGGAGCTGTTATAATCACACTGGGGATTGCTATGCTCTGCATGCTCCCCTGAGCTTGAGTCACTTAGCTCTTTTAAGAGCTTGTTCCTGACACGCTCTCCTTGGAGGAGGGGTCTTCACCACACAGTCCTGGATGCTGGAGGTTCATACAGGGTGGAAGGAAGAGTTCTTTCCCACACAGTCCTGGAGGACAGAAGCTGATCCAGGGTGGAAGGAAGACGGCGAGACTCCAGTCAAGATACGGCGGTTGCGGAGTCTGCGGTGGTTGTGGTGTCTGCTGCAGCACTTGGAGTCCTCAGGAAGCGCTAGGAGCATCCGTCAACAGAGGGTACTCAGTCAGAGTACAAGGAGCTCTGTTACAATACAAGTGCATTTTGAAGAGCTGTTTGTTATTTATTGGTCACACTTTTTCAACTTATGCTTCTTATATTATAGCCACACAAAAAAAAAAAAATGAATAAAATAAAGCTATACAAAATAAAGGAACTCTCCAAACCCTATAACCACTGCGCCTTGTTACTAACAGCTGGGTGCTATGAATGGCCTATTTGTTTACATATTTAAGTGGTTTCATTAAGGCCATGGTATTGGCTAGGTATCCTATGCGAACTACAATATTCATTAAAAATACTTAGTTGCATATGCCCAAGTATTGTTCTTGTTTGGAATTGTTGTTTGATTGCAAACAAAACAAATTGGTAACATTTTGATATCATGCAGCTCTACATATACTTTTTTAGAGTTTAACTTTTGTAACGAATATTCATATTAAAAACAAAAAATATTGTCATGTATTGCACTTACACAGTCACTCAAGTTAGGATTCAAGGATAATGCAAAATGAATTTACAATTTTAGGCCAAAGTGGCTATACTGGAAAAAGTCATCTATACTCTCCATTGGGCTCCTCTGGCCATTTGTTTTGAGCAGGCTATCCGCACATAAACCACTCAACTTGTTCAGTAGGCAATTTGTATTGTGGTCAAGGCTGTAAACTTGTGGCTTCCAACTAGAAATTTTTAACTCCTGGAAAAATAATGCACAATCTGCTCCAAACTAGAGATGTGTGCTTAAAGCGGTACTGGGAGATTTTGCATGTTTTTTTTTTTTGTTTTTTTTAGATTGTTTGAAAATGACTAGTACATTGCAATTAAATTTTCATCATAAATGTGTTCTTTAAAAAAAATAAAAATATATCAAAAAAGGTTTAGCATGAAAACCATTGCTGATCATGAGTATTTCGTATAGGTCAAGCAATGCAATATAAGTTGTAAAACAGATAAACATTTTCAAACTCTACAACCTAATAAAAACTAAAAAGGATACACATCTTTCATCTGCTCGATAGTTGGAGCCCGGATAATGTCATTGATTCCAATAATATTCTCATGCTTAAAACGCAACAAGATTTTGATCTCCCTCAGTGTTCTCTGGCAGTATGTTTGATGCTCAAATGGGCTGATTTTCTTGATGGCAACTCGTACTTTGTTGACATTGTCATAAGCAGAACTAAAAAATAGTAAATTACATTATAAATATTTAAAATTTGGTTAAAACTTTACAAAAAAGCATGGATGTTTGAGAGCTATGGACACTGATCATTTAACCACACTTGAAATTAAATATATACTAAATCAGGTATAGAGTGACCAAGAGAAAAAAGCACAGTGTTTATTTTCTTTTGATCTGAAACTTTCCAAACAAAAGCAAAATGCCATTTTGACAGCTTGAGTAGAAAAAAAAAAAAAAGTATAAATCATGAAAGAAAAGACAATAAAATATTTACACTCATGCTTATTAGATAAACAATCACATTTCTAGATTACTTGTAAAGCCAGACAGGCAGGTCATGTTTAAACCCTGAGCTGTCTGGTGTCACATCACGCATTATTTACTTTAAAGCCGCTGTCACTTGTAGGGTCTTTGCATTGTTTTGCAGACACCTTAACACGGTTAATGCCTGCTAATGCGGAGATGGTTGAGGGGGACCCTAAACAGTCCCTCCTGTGATTCACCATTCTTTGGCTCCTGGCAATTTTCTCTTTGTCACACAAAAAATGGGTCTATGAAGGATTCTGCAAGATTACGGGGATCTTCCAGGAATCTGTAGACCATCACGCAATACGGTGCCTTGAACTATCAGACATTTTGTGAGCAAAGACTGATGGAAAATGATAAGATTGCAAATTACATCAGATAAATCAGTACCTGATTTGTCTCGTGTGCATCTTGATTATACTGGAATTTAAAACATTTCAACGCAGTCAAAGGAAAAAAAAATATATTTTGATAAGGATTCCTGCAGCATAGCTAAATAACAGCAAATAACATTATTTTGACACTGCTGTTGTGAATCAGCAAATAAACATTAAAATATCTGGAGGCTCCTTACCATAAAATTTGTACTACATTAAAAATGATGCGGTCTACGTGGTAGTATGCATATTGTGTGGCTTTAAATTTATATTTTCTGCTTTTAACATCAAAGTAGTGACTTGAAAACCAAATTGCGAAATGAATGGTAAACGAACCAAGTTGTGATTATGCAAGATTTGACGAATTTGTGCCCAAACTATTAAATTCGGCTTTTTATTCACTTGTGGTTTTAGTGAACTGACTTACAGTTTATTTTTAAGAGACTAGCTTTTAAATGATTAAAAGAGACATGCATCCCTTTGAGACAGTCTCATTCAAAGGCTTTGCCTTTGAGTCAGACATCTCATCCTGTCTGCAGGAAAAGAAAATTATAACTGCTTAATTTGTACCAACAAGAACTGCCTAGATGACATTGCTGCCCACCAAATCACCAGGATTCAAGCACTAGAATTATGTAGTAACACTAGTGAATAACCCATTTTTCAATGCAATACATTTATTGATTGCAATAACAATAGTACATCTGTGCTGGCCCATCCTAGGTCAGGTAAGTACTTTTTTTTAAATAAATGTCACTATTGTTTATAAAAATAAAATTCTATTACAAAGGAAAACTCTTATTAGGATATTCTGATGATTTATATGCTGATATGCTTTACAGTCTCTGTAACAAGTTTTAAACAAAACCTACAAAAGTATCCTAGCCTATAGTGGTGCATGACAATGAGTGTCATTTAAAAGGCTAATTGGTTAGAGGAAATTCTGTTCTTATTGATTTAGTACAAGTCAGATATTTCCAAAGCAATTTACCAACCACACAATCACTGCCACACTCTGCCCACAGTCAGTGTGTCTGTGCTTGAATTAAAGAGCGCGCTAGTGTATGTATGTAAAGTGGCAACATGGCTGCAACGTGAAGGTGACACAGTATAAGCAATGTCATGGTAATGCGGCAACATATAATATTGTTGGGGATATATACGGAAACCATGTCCACCGTGGTTTCTGGTAAGCATTATTTATACACAAATTGATAAGCAAATCACAAAAAGGGAAGTCAAAGGCTACATGCAGTAAATCAGGTGATCAGGAATCTTGCAGCATATAGATTATCCATAATTCAGGACAGCATTTTCATGTAGTGCAAATAACGTGTCCCAGAAGACATGATATATATAGATATATAGCATTGCTAAACACAAATACACACACCAGTCAAGCCCACTTTAACAGTGCTCTCACTACTGCAAGGGATTCTGGGTAGGCATATGCAAATGAGCATAACAAAACCAAATTTGTGCCTCATAATTCCACTTTATCCATGGAGTCCTTGGAGTATGTGTCTGCTGTATACAACAGCTTTGAAACACAACTCAGGAAGAGGATCAAAGCCAGTGAACCATTCATGGACAGCTGTTTCGTTGTTAATCAGCATGAGGTTGGTCCTGGCTTGCTATGGAGGCTTGAAGTTGCTTGTAAAGTACATACCAACAGAGTTGTGGGGAGGAAAAAAGTGTGTATACACACACACTGCTCTGCAGAGTGAATACCACTATATACTAAGTGACACATTGCGCTGCACAGTGAATCCCTCTATATATTTACACACACTATGGCTGCCAATCTGTATATAGAGAGATTCACTGTGCAGAGCAGCGTGGCTGCCAGTCTGTATATAGAGTGATTCACTGTGTAGAGCAGCGTGGTTGCCAGTCTGTATATAGAGTGATTCACTGTGCAGAGCAGCGTGGCTGCCAGTCTGTATATAGAGTGATTCACTGTGCAGAGCAGCGTGGCTGCCAGTCTGTATATAGAGTGATTCACTGTGCAGAGCAGCGTGGCTGCCAGTCTGTATATAGAGTGATTCACTGTGCAGAGCAGCGTGGCTGCCAGTCTGTATATAGAGTGATTCACTGTGCAGAGCAGCGTGGCTGCCAGTCTGTATATAGAGTGATTCACTGTGCAGAGCAGCGTGGCTGCCAGTCTGTATATAGAGTGATTCACTGTGCAGAGCAGCGTGGCTGCCAGTCTGTATATAGAGTGATTCACTGTGCAGAGCAGCGTGGCTGCCAGTCTGTATATAGAGTGATTCACTGTGCAGAGCAGCGTGGCTGCCAGTCTGTATATAGAGTGATTCACTGTGCAGAGCAGCGTGGCTGCCAGTCTGTATATAGAGTGATTCACTGTGCAGAGCAGCGTGGCTGCCAGTCTGTATATAGAGTGATTCACTGTGCAGAGCAGCGTGGTTGCTAGTCTGTATATAGAGTGATTCACTGTGCAGAGCAGTGTATGCAACTCAGAAAATATCAGTTCTTACACTTTATTTTTCCTTTCTGTATGCACAGAGATGTAGAGAATCAGGTTGTGGTTATTGTTTCCCTGACTCCCCGGGTTTTAAATCTACTAGTTTAAAAATTCAAAGATTGCAGTTTTTCTTCCAACCTTTCAAAAATGATCCACCAAATGAAAAATATATAAAAGCAAGAAATGCATGTTATTTCCACCTAATTTTTATGGCATACATCAGCCAGATAAAGCTGATTTTCGATACTTCCTGTTCTTGAGAAAATAAAGCCACTTCTGGACACATCCTTCTAACTTTATACATTCTGCCTTAAAGGCAGAATATGGGATTTGAAAATATTTATTCACAACACAACCTAAGCATTCAATGCACAATCTTTATTTTTTTTTGGCCTTGTTGTAAGGGCTGCTTAGAACATTGTACTAGTAAAGCATTTGTCTTCATACATGCCCTTGATCCGGGTTACTATGACAACAAAACACACAAGTAGGACATTTAAGCCTTTGTCAGTATCCTGCAGACAGGATTGGTTCCTTGCATAAATAAAAAAATTTAAAAAAATGGTTTTATTGTAATGTATTGATGACATTTAAAGAGACTACAGTCAACAAAACAACTATAGTAGTTCTGGTCTCTATAGCCTGTCCTGCACTCTGCCTGAAGGCGCTTAATTCATACCATAGAGATGTATTGATTCAATGCCTTTTTCAGTGGATGACGATTGGCTTTTTTCTGCAAATGCACAATAGCCTCCGAATCCTATGGAAAAGCATTGGATTGGCTAAGATTATCAAGATTGATAATCTCCGCAATGGAGCCAGGGCCACCCATAGCGAGACCAGCTTGGCGGAGGAGAAAAGGTGAGTAAAATCCCCTAAACAGTCACACAGGCACTATAGTGTCAGCAATACACATATGTATTCCTGACACTATCCTGTTCCTTTAAGCCTACATTATTAAAATTTACTTTAGATTTTATTTTTTACTATTAAACTTATTTAAATCAGTTTATCTTAAAATGTATTGATAAGAAAAAAGGGAGACTATACCTCTTTCTGAAAATCTGTTCACTCTAAGCACCAAACCAACTACAGCTTAATCTAGTGGTTTTGGTACATAGATTCTGTCCCCTTTCGCTGACAATGTAAAACAGCAATTCATAAGAAATAATAATGCTTACATTTTGCAGATAACATGCTTCATGTCTGTGATCTGTGAACCAGAGAGCCACTTTCCTCCTTTAAATCTTTAATTTTCGAGGAACTTCCAACACTGCATAAAGGCAGTGAACACAGCTAATGCATCTCATAGAAAAGATTTGGATTCTGGGCTTCTCATAAATAACTTTAATCAATACTTCTCAAGAAGCACCACTGGATTGGTGGAGAGTGATAATTACCTGCAAATCCACCTTCCATGACATCACTTCCCCTCAGTGCATGAGGAGGGATGTCAGGAAGGCAAAGTTGAGGGATTATGTAAAGGGGAGTGTCATATCGCAAACAATTTATGCTCATTCTATTGAGCATAACATTTCATCTCCACAATGTGCTAACAAATGTATAGATTAGGAGAAAAACCTATTTAAAAATAGGTTTTTCTCCCAGCTGTCAGTCAATGCCAAAGTGGGTGTTAAATGAAGAGCAACAGCTACAGAGCAGCACTGGCACGGAGAAAAAGTAAGTCAAGATTTATCTTTTACAGGGTGTCATATGTATATGGGAGTGATTTCTAGTAAGTTGTTTTTTGCATAACATGTTCACTTTAAAGTCTGCATGGAGGGAAGTCCATGCCACTATTGAATGTGTCACCAGCATGCTATTTGTGCTGATGGACGTATTCAGTGCACAGAACTCTCAAAAGCGGCTCAAAATTCTTGTTCTGGGCTGCTAATGATGCGGTTGGAAGTAGTTACACTGCATAATTAAACATCTAGTATGTGCAGTGTTCCACATTGAAATACTTAACATAAGACTTCATGCATCATGACCACCACTATTGACTTCAGCTAGAGAATATTCTGATATTTCAAGCAGAGAGTTACACCCATAAGAATTGTAAAATTTAAATCACCATAAACAAAAAAAAAATCCCTCCATGCCTCTAGCATCATTGTATACAGTCAGAACCAGAAGATGTCCAATAATACTGATTTCTAAAGAGCTTTGTTATCAAACTACACAACATATAGATTAAATAATTTGAAAAAGTTATAATCATGGAAGAGAACCTTTTTCGCAGTTTAACATATAGATTCATGTACATTATGGGGCCATTCCCAACTTCCTCAACCTCTCAAGAATTAACCAGGTAAAGAAAAACTACTAAATCAATGCACAAAAAAATGGTAAAGAATCTGAGCTTTCTTCACTCCCACTACAGACTGACTGGATTCAGTATCAAAATAATTACTTTTTAAAAGATAATTTCACTTTTCTCCTAAAATGCAGTGGTAAAGCTAAAATCCTACACATCCACAATGAATAGTTTATTTTTAGATTAAGCTATTAACTTGATCGTCAAGCCAAGCATTTCAATTCCAATAATTATAGCGAACAAATTACTACAGTAGTTTGTACAATGGATATAAATTAACTTGTCTTTTATACCAAGATCTCTTTACTGATCAAAAGTCTTAAAGTTGCGGGGTGCGGAGCCTGGCATCCAAGCAGAGCCTCAGCTCCAGCTACACTATGCACTTTTCAGGGGTGATCCCCACAAAAAAAAAAATATGTCAGCCACACACTGAAAGGTACACCCGGGGGTATCACCCGATACCAAAATCAAGCCTGCAACCCCCGGGTACCAGACAAAATGCCTTGAGGCCTACCGGAGATCAGGCAGCGGGGAGACGGCCACTCCCCAGGCTGACTGACCTGGAAATGGACCCCTCCTAAAAGCCCCCCCCCTCGACGGGGGACATCTCGGTCCACACCAAGCGACAGGAATGGCAATTTAGGGCCAAGTAACCAAATCGAGGAACCGCACCATCGGGGCAGCAGAGCATGTGGCGTACCCAAAATGGCGGCAGCAAGCACATCAGACAAGCCGACACGCTCACCTGAGAAGGAAGATCACAGCGACATTCAGCAGCGTATAGACGCAGCTTTTACCAGATTCTGGCATAGATTAAGAGAAAGGATGCAAACACCGATGACAAGTCAGCAATCCCTGCCAGTTAAGAGCGGACTGAATCGAGCCCACCGAGTGAGGAGCAAGGTATCACCGCAACGGAAGCCGGACTGCATGACTGGAGCGGGGAACGGAAGGAAGAGGCGCCCCACACTGGGCACAGCAACTATCCCCAAGTTAAGCACGCAGCCTGCCCGGGCGAGGGGTCGGGAGGAAACTGCCTCCACGGAACAGATGGGCTCCCGGCTGCGACCACGTAAGCGGAACAATTTACTGGCATGGCGCAGAAAAAACACGACCCAGCCCTGCGTTCCGCTGGCAGGGCAGAACATGGGACTTAAAGGACCACTATAGTGCCAGGAAAACATACTCGTTTTCCTGGCACTATAGTGCCCTGAGTGTGCCCCCACCCTCAGGGACCCCCTCCCGCCCGGCTCTGGAAGGGGGAAAGGGTTAAAAACTTACCTTTTTCCAGCGCTGGGCGGAGAGTTCTCTGCCTCCTCTCCTCCTCCGTTACGCCCCGCCGGCTGAATGCGCACGCGCGGCAAGAGCTGCGCGCGCATTCAGCCGGTCTCATAGGAAAGCATTTACAATGCTTTCCTATGGACGCTGGCGTGCTCTCACTGTGAAAATCACAGTGAGAAGCACGCAAGCGCCTCTAGTGGCTGTCAATGAGACAGCCACTAGAGGGAATAGGGGGAAGGCTTAACCCATTAATAAACATAGTAGTTTCTCTGAAACTGCTATGTTTATTAAAAAATGGGTTAACCCTAGCTGGACCAGGCACCCAGACCACTTCATTAAGCTGAAGTGGTCTGGGTGCCTAGAGTGGTCCTTTAATGATTTCCTGTCCAGCAGCACAGAGCAACGGCTCTCAGCATGGGCTTGGGACCGGGGTACACCCTCGCCTCACTACCACCCAGCAGAAAGACTCTGAGCCCTCAGAGGTTCGAGCCTCGACACACAACAGCTGAAAAGGAAAGAGACTGCATAAAGTGGTCCACTAAAGGCAGTGGTGTATCCTGGTTTTGTGCTGCCCTAGGCAGGACAAAACTCAAGCGCCCCCTCCCCCCGCGCCACCCCCACCCAACCCTTCCCCCCCGCCCCACCTTCTAAATACACACACAGTCAGACACAAACACACACAGTCAGACACAAACACACACAGACAGTCAGACACAAACACACACAGACAGTCAGACACATACACACACAGACACAGTCAGACACAGACACAGTCAGACAAACACACACACACTAACTTTTTTTAATCTAAATCCCCCCCCAACCTCCTTACCTTCGGGAGTGCTGGGGGCTCTCTCTCCCTGGTCCAGTGGCTGCGGTCGGGCTGGGCGGCTCTGGCTGCTGTGCGGCGGCTGGCGAGGGAGCTCTTCCTCTGAGCTGACTGCTCAGCTCCCTCGCGCGCCGCAGAGTGAGGCTGGGAGCCGGAATATGACGTCATATTCCAGCTCCCAGCCTCACTCTGAGGCGCGCGAGGGAGCTGAGCAGTCAGCTCAGAGGAAGTGCTCCCTCGCCAGCCGCCCGCCTGCCAGTGCCGCCCAGCCCGACCGGGATGTCAGCCGCAAAGCTAACTAGGAATTTGCCCTGGGCATTTGGGGGGCGGCGTTTTTTGCCGCCCCCTGAAAAATGCCGCCCAAGGCAAATGCCTTGTTTGCCTCGCGGCTAATACGTCCCTGACTAGAGGCATTGGTTGACCATCTGGTCCAGCGAGTTTGATGCTCCACAACTGTTGCCAGACCCTCCACCACCACTGACCACCTTAACCGCTCCCTGGGAAACTTATCGGACCAACAGATCAGAGACTCAGGCTACTACGTATGAAAATCATAACCGGCCTATACCTGGCAGCTAGAGTCATATTCACTGCAATACAGCGGCTTACCTAGACTGACTTTGCTAGTATGCAGCCTGAAAGCAAATTTTTTCTTTTTCTTATGTTTGCGTATATACGCTAGCCATGAAGATTGTACCTCAACTCCAAGTTTCTCTGTTTTTGTAATTTTTCTGCAAAAGACTAGCTTGAGCTCTCTGATTACCACCTACCAACTAACTAACCCTTTGATCTGCGCATCCTACTTGGAAACTCAGAGCACTAGCGTGAAAAACGTTAACCGGCATAGTTTTGAACACACTTCAACCACAAGCACCACAGACAGCCTGTACATTATACTCATGCCTAAATATAATGATGCTACTTGTATACTGCCTGCCTGTTTGGCCCTGCTTGGCCCTATAACACATACAGTGAATATGCCCCACAGCAAGTAGAGTTGGCCTAACATGCTTAAATAAGTGGATTGGTCACGCATAGCCGAGCTCACTTCAACTAATGTGTATGTTTAGCCTGTAATAGCTTAATTTAAACTAGCCTAAGAGTTCCCTAGCTCTAAGACATACCATCCTTTTTATTACTCCTCCATAGCCAACTGATAGGTCTTACTTCCACCTCACTTCTAGCTAACTAGTAACTCTTAAGGGCAACTAAATTTATCATAAGTTCGTATAACCAAGCATGGTCAATGAGAGATACTAATGTTACATAGCCTGTTATTTTCATGTTCTCTTAAAAAAAATTGTGCTGTTTAAACTGCCATATGTTGAAATGCGATGAAAACACTTGCAGCAGCTGTTGTGGCGTTGCACGCTTGTTGTTACCACATGCACAAATAAAAATAAAGAATTTTAAAAAAAAGTCTTAAAGTTGCACTAATCAAAAGTAATCTTGTTGTGGGTTACTTTAAACAGTATAAAGTGACAATCGATAGTGGCATAATGTAATAAGAAAAACAATTTACATTGTGATCAAACGTGGTGCACCACCTGCTGTATTTAACCCTTTGTAATGCAATTACAAATATATGCAAAAAAATAGAACCCAAAGTAACGTTGCATACTTTTTTTATTATTTATATAGCGCCAATAAATTCCGCAGGGCTGCACAATGACACCGATGAACTGATTTCAATATGGAAAAGAGAGCTATGGCATACAGTTTGACATGTCATAATTTTGCAAGAAACCTAAACATTTTACTCTGCTTTTCACAGATAACTAAATTTTACACTTACATTTGACTTTATATATTGATATTTTTTACAACTTGTACTTAAATATTTCAGTTAGAATAATTTGAGCATTTTGATTCACAATTCATACACACTGAAGAGTCAGTCCATGGAAGAAACCATGCAATTAGGACATTAAGAGATTGGAAAACCAAGTCAAGGATTTTTTTACTTCAATAATAATAAGCCTAGTAAGAAATAATGAACAGGTGTCGATACGCATGCGGCTACAAAAGTAGTTTAAATAAAAATGTAAGTCACAGTCAGGTTTAGCTATTTACATCAGTTTCCATGTAATGACACATTCAACCCTACACAATCAATATAAGGAGATGTGAAGCAGATATGAAGCATAATGACTGCTCCTCAAAAAACACACCACACCATAAACTTTAACTTTACTTTGGACAAAAGCAAATATTTTAGGAATGGAAAAAAACAAAACAAAATGCATGGCTACAGTGACAGTCAAGACTGTTTTTATTACATAATTCTAAGAGGACATATCATCCAAGTGTCCCTATTTTGGGCCCAGATCTTTCTTTTCTATCCTAATAATACTCATTTCTAGAAGCTTCATATTGCTGGTGTGTGTGGGTGAGAGAGATATCTCTCTCTCTCTCTCTCTATACATCTATATCTATCAGATCTCCACAGCAATAAAGCTCATAGTAAAGTGGACGTTAAACGTTATACTCACCAATGAACTACAGCTCATTGGTGAGTATAGTCAGTCCCCTCACACTTTTAGCAGTAAGCACTGGCTTTTCATAGAAAAGGTAGCGTTTACATTAACCCTTTAACGTGGGCGGCAGTGCTATGACGTCCTTGAGGACCCGGCTCTAAGCGCTTGGGGGTGGCATAACACGTCCCTGCCGTCCTTTGTATTTACCCGGTTGCCCAAACATTAGCAATAACCAGAGAAAATTTGGGAATAAGAGGTATGATAAAGGAAGTAGAATTAAAGATATGCCTATACGCAGATGATGTATTGATCTCTATTACAGATCCTGCCATCTCACTCATTTAATGCAAGAGATTAAAAACTATGGGGCTGTTTCAAACTATAAGAAATCTTAATGTATTAATGTAAATTCTTATATGCTAGGTTCTCTTCAAGAGAAGTATAATTTCCAATGGACTAAAAAAAAAAAAAAAAAAAAACCTAAAAAAAAGTTCCAATATTTAGGAATTACTATTACGGCAAATCCTCAAAAAATAGTGGAGACCAACTTTTTAAAAATGATAAAATACACAAATAAAACTCTGAAAGAATGGTGCCCCTTGGAAATTTCTTGGTGAGGAAGAGTCAATACAATAAAAACCTATGTTATCCCCAAATGGGCTTCTATTTTCAATAGGATTTCATTGTTAGTTCCTAAACCTTGGTTAGATATGCTTCAGCATTCACTTTCTAATTTTATTTGGAATGGGAAAATACCAAGAACAAAATCCCAAATTTTTGTATAATTTTTATTGGTTTTTCAGTACTTGAAACATGTTTCACATATACATATACAGAGAAATGGAACAGTGGTTATATTGGGGAAGTCTATCACACTTCTTGGTAAAGTGTACATTATGAAGTTAACAATGAGGAGACTAATGTAATATCGTAACATGTGTTTACATAACTATAACCTGCTTCGATGCCTAGATCTCTCAACTCGTCAACCTCTAATCCAGGCTCAACCAGTGTTCCATATCGTGATGTAAAGAGAGAACTGGGAGTGGGGGGTAGGAGAAAGAGAGGGGGGGTGTGTGGGGAGGGGGGGGGAAGGTGATCGGTTTTGTTGTGGCTCTGATCCCTTTCCAGGGCCTTCTTGACTATTTGCTCATTGTGGCTGACTGTCGCCACTCATCCCATTTTCTCCATGCCGTTTGCCAAACTCCACTAACTGCCCTCGTCTGTCTAGCGGCTATTTCATATGATTTGGTAGTTTCCACCTGGGCTAAACATTTGTCAATGTCTGGGGTTGCTTCATTGAGCCACATTCTGCTTATGAGCATGAGCGCTGCAATGATGATATGGTAAGTAAGATACCGGTACGCTTTTTTCAGTTTTTGGGGCAGTGCTAGTAGTAAGTAAGCTTCTGGGGAGAATAGTATGACAAGTCCCGTGGATGCCGTAATAATATTAGAAATGCCACCCCAGAAGGGTTTTAGTTTTGGACATGTCCACCATATGTGGAGCATTGTGCCTGGGTCTTGTAGGCACCTCCAGCAAGCCTTTGATTTCTGGCTATCGTGTTTGTGAAGTTTAGTTGGTACCATGTACCATCGGTATAACACCTTCCTGCTAGTTTCTATATGGGATGTGTTCAGCGTTAGGTGCTTATGAGTCGACAGGATTTTGGACCAGTCTTCGTCTGGTATATCTGTGTTCAACTCTCGTTCCCAAGCTCTCACAAAGTGTAATGTTTTTGGTGGTGTCTGGGTTTTTAATGTTTTGTATAGGAAAGATAGCAATTTTTGCGGCTGCTTATTGGTTATGCACATTTTTTCGATCACAGATAGTGTAGTGTCTTGATGGTGCGTCCTATCCACCTTAACGTGTTTCCCCACCCACGAGTGTATTTGTAGGTAGGCGAAATAGGCTCTGGGTGGCAAATTGAATGTGTTCGAGAGCGAGTCATAAGTCAGCAGGTGGCCATCCGTCATTATTTGGGATAAGCACTTGATCCCATGATCATGCCATAGGCCATGGTCAAATCCAGGGATTAGGACATTAAACGCTTGGATTTGCAGTGCAGGAGAGACATACTGAGCGGCATAGTGTTTTTTAACATATCTATCCCACACTGCAAGTGTTGCAGTCGTGGTGGGGCAGGCGTTTAGGTAACGTGGCCTTTTTTGTTTGGGGATCCAGGCCAGGGTGGGCAATGACATGCCGCCCATATGCGCCATTTCTATTTGATGCCATGGCGGTGGTTGAGTGTGGTGGAAGGTCGTCATGAGGGCACCCATTAGAGCCGCTGTGTAGTATCCCATAATTTCTGGTGCTCCCATCCCTCCCTCCCTGAAGGGTTTATACATGGTGGCTGCTGCTACTCTAGAGCGTTTTCCTCCCCATATGAAACCATTTAGTAGGCGTTGGGTTTCAGTAAAAAACTTCTTTGGTAGTTGGATTTGGAGTGTTCTAAATAAATATTGCAGCTTTGGTAGTATCATTTTTGCTGCCGCTATCCTACCTGTCCAGGATATATATTTCCCTTTCCAGCTGTGTAGTTGGTGTTTAATATTACTAAGTAAAGTAAGGTAATTCGCTTTATACAGTTTCCTAATTGTGGGCGTGAGGTGAATTCCCAGGAATGTCAAGTGGTCCCTTCTCCAATCGTATGTGTGTTTGCTTTGTAAGTTTGTGAGTTGCCCCGCAGTGAGATTAAGGCCCATGGCTTGTGTCTTACTAATATTAAGTTTATAATATGAGCAATTGCCAAACTGTGTCAGTATATTTTGGAGATGCGGTAGTGAGGTGTCAGGATGCGATACCGTGAGCATCACATCATCGGCGAACAGAGTGATTTTGTGCGTTTTCCCTCCTATGGTAATCCCTTTAATGTTTGGGGAGTCCCGTATTCGTTGTGCTAGGGGTTCTAACGCCAGTATATATAATAGTGGAGAGAGCGGGCAGCCCTGTCGGGACCCGTTAGAGACCTAGAATGGCTTGGAAATAAAGCCACCGTTTGCTATTTTTGCTGTGGGGTTATCGTACAGCGCTGAAATTAAGGTGATGAAGCCCTCTGGGAAGGCAAATTTCCTCAATACCGCCTCCAGGTATCCCCAGTGTAGCCTGTCGAATGCTTTCTCAGCATCTAACGACAGTGCCACACTAGGTTCTCCCGATGTCTGGATGTTGTGGAGGATGTTAACAAGTTTCCTGGTTCCGTCCGAGCCCTGCCTGCCCCGCACAAAGCCCACTTGGTCGTCCCGAATTATTCTGGGGAGGAGTGTTCCCAATCTGTTAGCGAATATTTTTGCTAGTATTTTTAAGTCTGTGTTTAGGAGCGATATGGGCCTTAAATTTTGACATTTGCAAGGTGGCTTCCCTATGTGGGCCAACAGCATTTCTTGCGGTATTTTGCCTGTCTCGAGAATATTATTGTCGAGTTTTTCTAGTATAGGAGTTAGAATGTGAGAGAAGGTTTTGTAGTAGGCATTGATAAAGCCATCTGGGCCAGGAGATTTCCCCTTTGGGAGTGCTTTAATGGTGCTTGTTATTTCATTCTGAGTAATGGGTTCTTCCAAGAAGGACCTGTCTGCTTGTGTAAGTTGTGTTGTGTGGGTTACTGCTAGGAACGTGCTGATGTCTGAGATAAGTGGTTGGTGTGTATGTTCGTCCTTTTTTTAGATTGTATAATGCATCATAATAGTCCGCCAACATATCATTGATGTCACAGGGGTTGTACACCTTGTTTCCTAAGGAGTTTGTGAGGAAGGGGATTTTTTAGTTCTGCCTTTTTTGTCGTAGGAGGGCTGCTAGTGTTTTCCCTGCGTGTACGTTCTGAGTTTGAGCCTGTAGGTTATCGTGGCTGTTTTGTGGAGATGAATGTCATTTAATCGTTTCTTGATTTGGTCTATGTTCTGTTGCGTGGTGGTAGATGGGCTTAGGGTTTGTGTAGATGTTTCGTCCCTGAGCTGTCTCATGAGGGTTACGTATTCTGTCTTTGCTTGTTTGTTTAGATAAGATGCCTGGCTGATCATGAGACCACGGATGAATGCTTTATGTGTCAGCCACATCGTGGCTAAAGAGACCTCAGGTGTCTCGTTTATGGCGAAGAACGAAGTGATTTCTTCAGTGAGTTTAGTGGTAAAGTTAGAGTTATGTAGAAGAGCCTCATTCATGCGCCACGGCGATGTTATGCGGGATTGAAATTGATCTGTTAAGGTCAGCATTACCGGGGCATGATCAGACCAGACTATGTCTCCTATCTCACTTTGGAGGGCGTTTGACAGTATGTCACCCGAGACGAATATAAAATCAATTCTGGAGTATGTTTTATGTACTGAAGAGTAAAAGGTGAATTCCCGATCATTCGGGTGTTGTGCTCTCCACACATCGTATGGATTGTGCTCCGTGAGGAGTGTCAACAATGTTGTGGCCTGTTTAAGGATTTACTTCTTGAGGACTCAGCCGGCTGTGTAGTATCTAGTCTGGGCTGCATGACGTGGTTTAAGTCTCCACAAACAATTGTGGATGATGGGTAGGTAGTGGGAATTTTATTTAAAACTTTCTGAAGAAAGTTCCTTTGGTCTGTATTGGGGCTGTATATTCCCACTAATGTATACAAGGCGTTATTGATACTGCAATGCATTATTAAATAGCGTCCTTGCGGATCTCTTGAGATTCAGGAGTTCGAATGTGACTGAGGCGTGGATAAGGAAGGAGACACCCCTAGATTTGGATGAATAGGTGGAGTGAAATTGCGTAGGGTAGTCCTTGCTCGCAAACATGGGTACTCTGTTGTGTACAAAATGTGTCTCCTGTATGAACAGTATGTCTGTTTTGTTGCTGTTTGCTTCTTCTATGAGGAGCCTCCTTTTGTGTGGTGTGTTTATGCCTCGGGTGTTAATAGTCAGTATTTTCATCATTTGTGGATTCGTATGGAATAATGCTGTTACAAAAGTTCAGTGTTAAATTTTCTTTCCCTTCGTACCGTGGAAGGGGCAGTTGTAGTATTAGTGTCAATAGTGGAGGTGAGTGGGGGTCAGACCCATTATTGTATGGTGGTATGTGGGCATACCAGTGTCGATGTTGGGCAGGATTCTTATTTGCCCCTTTAGGAGTTTGTATCCGATCACGGATGTCTTGGGATGGGGGAGATAAACTAGGGGAGGGAGTTTGAACTATATACAGGGTGTCTCCCGTGGAGACAGTGTGTGGTTGTACCACATTTGAGGGGTGGAGGAGAGAACTCTCTACCATGAATGTGGCTATTTGGGCACCTATTTGTACCTTGATGTGTTGCAGCTGTAGTGTGAGGGGTGCGCTTGGGTGTATTTGCTCAGCTGGCGTAGATTTCATTGACGCAGCGTCGGCTGGGTTTGGGGTGGTCCCAGCCGGCGCTAGGCCATTCCATATGTGCCACCAGTGAGTTCCCCCAGAGGGGGTTTTCCTTGTCAATGTGCCGAGGTTGTATATCTGGCTTGGTTCGAACCTGTGTTTGTGTAGAAACCTGATGTATCACTATATATACTTCCCAGTATGGGCACATGTATAGACAGCAGTTTTACCCAGTGAGGGTTAGACACCATTCCCGCCGCTAGCGTCCTCCCCTTTCTACATTCATCTGCTCTACATAACATTTTCCCCAGTTATAGTCCACATTCATAGGAGGCCTAGGTCGCAGGCCCCCCGTTGCCTTACGGGACCCTCGGAGCTCCTCTCATGGCTCTGGCAGTTGACAATGTCCGTTAGCCCCGATCAGATCTTCCTATGCCGGCCTCGTGTTTGCCTGCCATCACGAGCACTTGGTGATGCAAATGTCTTGTTGCCCAGAGGCTTAGGGTCAGGAAAGGGGATCTCTATGAGTCAGAGGGAGATGGTGTCCCACCGTCCTGTGTCAAGGTCCAGACCGGGGTCCCCCGCAGTTGCCACTGCTCTGCGCACGCTTCGTTACAGGGGTGGCGGAAGATCCCGGTCCGGTAACCCACAACTGTGAGGACTCCGCATGGAGCAACCGTTTATTACAGGGCATTCCAAAATTCCTTTTCATCCGTGGTGGAGGGAGACCAGCCAATTTCTCTTCTGTTGCATTGAGTTACAGAGTTTGTACATGGAAAAAGGGTCTGTGTCCGCAGACCAGTTTGTCAGCTGGTTCAATGTTTAACCTGGGATTTTTTCCAGTCTCGCTTGAGTGTACCTGCTTGGTGTGTAGGATTTGTTGCCGGCTCCGCCGGCATGCCCCAAGCCATCAGTTTCGTTACCCCCTCTTCTGGAGAGTTCAGCACTGTCGTGTCGCCGACTTTTGTGACTATTAATTTAGTGGGGAAGCCCCATCTGTATCGAATACCATGCGACCGTAGTGTATTGGTCACTTGAGAGAATTCCCTTCTTTTCCGAAGAGTGGCAGCCGACAGGTCTGCATAAATCCGAACAGTGGGGTATTCGGGCGGAGGTTTAGCCCGCATTCTACTGCTTCTGAGTATGTGTTCCTTAATATGGAAGTAGTGTGCTCGAAGTAATATGTCTCTAGGTACCGTCTGAGGGAGGTGCCGGGGCTTCGGGAGGCGATGTACCCTGTCTACAAGTAGCATGTCTGTTGGTATCTCCGGTGCATGGGTATGCAGTAGGTTCCGCACGTATGCCTGCAGTTCGTCGTTGGAGACATCCTCGGGCACTCCCCGCAGACGGAGATTGTTTCGACGCGAGCGATCTTCCAGGTCTGCCAACTTTTCTTCTAGATTGTTGATGTTTTTTGCCATGCGTTCTACTGTTGTGGCCAAATCATTGTGGGCTGTGGCGAATTCGTCACATTTGTCCTGCATGTGCGATGTCCGCTTACCCAGTTCTTGTATATCTTTGCGCATGGAGTCTGCTGTGTGCTGCCATGTTGCGATGAGTTTGTTAGATAGGGTTTCCAGGGCTGCTGTGAGATCAGCTTTTGTTATTTGTGATGTGTCTGGGGTCGATTCCAGGGAATCAGCTTGTGCGCCATCATCCGATTCCGGGTCCATGTGTTCTTTTGAAGCCTGCGTCGCCATTGTCGCAGAAGTTTGCTTTTGGCTGAAAAAAATTGAGCTTGTCCGGTTTTGCCAAGCTCCTCTTGCCTTTGTGGTGAGACATCGTTATTTTGTGGCAGCAGATGCTGTGTACAACACTAGGATCGCATTAGATTAGGTGCCCAGGTGCCGGAGCGAGGTTTCATGCGACCATCTTGCTCTGTGGTTAGCCACGCCCCCCAAAATCCCAAATTTTAACAAATAAAATCAATCAAGGAGGAATGGCTTTTCCACTCATTAAAGATATATAGCACTAATATTTCCCATATTCATAAAATTCCATATCCCAGACTCGAGAAAACAACCCTGGTATCAGATAGAATCAATAAGAACAAAAGAGAAAGATATAGCCCTTCTGATTTGGGATGATAAAACTAACGATAAGACTAATTTAACTCAACTCAATTCTATTATTGTATCCCATCTTATTGAGGAATGGCAACAAATCAAAAAATGTCTTAATATAGCCAAAAAAACAAAAACAATTGAAGAAGCGAACATTCGGGTTTTGGAAAAAGTTATGCTTGATCTAAATCTCTCCAAATGGAGAGCTCATACAGAGATTTATATTAAAGAGCTCCTCCAAAGCATTAGACTGTTGCCATGCAATAACCTCAAATCCAAAATTGATGTTTTGGACATAGAAATCTTTTCTTACATGAGAGGAAGAGGATTTCTAAATGAGTCCTTATTAAGAAATGAAGGGGACAAATAATTTGGTATATAAAATTTCCGACAAAAATGAAACTAAATCAATATGTTCCGTTGCTATTGATTTAATTAGACAAGCGTATTCAGACATTCATCCTACAGTTAAAAAGCAATGGGAAAAAGAGCTTAATGTCAAATATTCTGACAAGACTTGGTGCTCACCTATGAAATTACTTAGAAATACACTGCTTAAATTTAGTTCTTCACAGGTGGTACCTAGTTCCACCAAGGCAGGCTAAGATATCCTTGTCCAATTCCTCCCTGTGTTGGAGATGTCTAACACATGAGGAAGATATGTTACATATCTGGTGGGGTTGCCTAAAAATAAGCACCTTATGGGAATCAGTATATATTTTTTTGGAGCTTTTCAATATTAAAGTTAAAATATGCCCAAAGGCAGGTCTACTTCATCTGAATTGGGATAGACTCCCAAGAGATCAATTAGTATTGACCATCCATTCCTTTATAGCAGCGAAAATACTAATTGCAAGAACTTGGAATCAAATAATGCCAGATATGAAACAGTTTATAGCTCAATTGTTATTCCAGCTTGAAATGGAGAGAGGAGTCGCATATTCAAATAATAATAGAAAATATACACCATTTTGATAATTGGATAAAAAAAGATTAAAGAACGTTTTCAATAAATACTTATCCTCCTTATCATATCAGATAACAGGTTTGTCTTAAAACGTATTTCCTTTTGTAAAATATATAGACTCCAACCAATAACTTATGAATGATTGTTATGTTTGTTAAGTATGTCTTGTTACGTGTTAATTGTCATTTTTTTATATTAACGGTAACCAAAGTAATTCTATGTATTTGTGAATGTAAAAAAATATTTCAATAAAGAGAAACTTAAATATAATAATTTTACATAATTAGGTCCTTTTATTAATTACAATTTGTAGGACCTGCCTGACAACCCAGGCCAAAAGTCCAAGGAATTTAATGTGCTAGCACTATATTTAACCCTGTAACTTTCCAAGACACCATAAAATCTGTACATGGGGGGTGGGGGGGGGGGACGGTTTTACTGACAACTTCGCTGAACACAAAATGTTAGTGTTTCAAAACCGTAACATTTATTACAACGATGATATCGTCATTAAAAGTGAAATGTTTTGCATTTTTCACACACGGACGATATAATTGTTGCGATACTTTTTATGGTTTTGAAACACTAATATTTGTGTTCAGCGAAGTCTCCTGAGAATAACAGTACCCCTCATATACAGGTTTTATGGCATACCATTTGCAATAGTAGACAACCCAAGGTATTGCAAATGGGGTATTGTCCAGTCTTTTTCAGTAGCCACTTTGTTACAAACACTGGCCAAAGGTAGCATTTATATTTGTGTGGGGGGGGGGAAATGCAAAAAACTAATTTGAATGCCAATTTTGGCCAGTGTTTGTGACTAAGTAGCTATAAAATAAAAAAAAAGACTGAACATACCCCATGAGTTGTCTACTTTTGCAAATGGTATGCCATCACGAGGGTAATTCTAATTCCTGGACTACCATATGGTCTCAAAGGCAATGTAACCAATGTGGCGAATTTCAATGTGAAAAAAATGAAACGCAAGCCTTATATTTGACTAACTTTTGAAAGCACCTTAAAACCTGTGTGATAGTGTTTCAAAACTGTAAAATGTATCACAACAATTATATCGTCAGTGTGTCGTTTGTGTGTGAAAAATGCAAAAAAAAATTCACTTACACTGACTATATAATTGTGATACGTTTTACTGTTTTGAAACACTAATATTTGTGTTCAGCAAAGTCTCCCGAGCAAAACAGTACCCCCATGTACAGGTTTTATGGTGTTTAGGAAAGTTACAGGTTTAAATATTGTGCTAGCAAATTAAATTCTCTGGATTTTCTGCCTGGGTTGTCAGGCAGGTCCCACAAATTGTAATTAACCCCTGAAGGACACATGACATGTGTGACATGTCATGATTCCCTTTTATTCCAGAAGTTTGGTCCTTAAGGGGTTAATAAAATGACCTAATTATGTAAAAATATTACATAAATATATGTAGAATTGATGTATATATTTGTGTATATAGATATATTTCATTCCAGGTTTATTTTGATATCTATATATTAGTTTTAAAATACCATTAGAACAAAATTACACATATTTTAATAATTTTTTTTATTTTTCATTAACGTATTTGTATATATATATATATATATATATATATATATATATATATATATATATATATATATATATATATATGTGTGTGTGTAAATATAGAATTTTTAAAATTATTTTTATTTATATATCGATATATAGGGATATATACGTATATACTTATGCAGAATATATATATAATTTCGTTCTAAATGTATTTTGATATCAATATATTAATTTTAAAATACAGTTAGAACGAATTTACACTTTATTTAACGTATTTACATATTTATTTTATTTCTAAATATATGATCATTTTGATTTAATCAATATAATTCTACATGTATTTTGAGGCAATATATATACACACAGATAAATATATATATATATTTTAAGTATATATTTAATTTTAAACTGCGTTTAAACTATTTCATGCAGCAGGGGGACGGCCTGTCATTCCATGCACTCCCCCTGCTGGCATTGCTAGGGACAGCTATTCTGTCCATGTGATCATGAGGTCCTCGCAAGGACCTCGTGATCACATGGCCCAGTAGGTCCGGATCAGACACAGAGGGACTCCCTGAGATGCCAGGTAAGTCCCCCATGGCGATAGCCAGCGTGGGATCGCCAGTAAGCAGGTAAGCGAATAGGACAGCCGGGAGTGTTAAGGATAGCAGGCGTTCTATGCCCTCTTTTTTGTTAATGTCTTGGTGCCAGATACCGCAGGACATGGTCAGAGGTCTTGCGGAGCTGATGCATCAGAGCTATTTTAACAGCATAAGGTGTACCTATACGATATTAAGCAAGTAGTTTTAATCTTGTGGTAATCAGTGTACATGCAATTTCTAAGGTTGTGTGATTTGAACAACAAAACAAACTAAAACTATAGCCAAAAACTAAATATGAAGGCTCAACAATCAGAATATACCAAAATTGTGAGACCACAACAAGTTGATTAAGTGTTGTGATAAATGTTTAGGGACTTGTAAAATTGAAAATATATTCCAGGTGCCGCTGTGCATGCAAAATTAGCAAAAACATTCTAACTTTTAGATGGAACATAACCTGATTTTCTTGTGCCAACAAAAAAAGTTAATTTAATGATTGCCATACCCAAAGTACATTTCCATATCCATGTGAACTATTCCCTCATTTACATTGCCAGCCCACACCCCACACTCACCTGCCAAAACAACCCATTTATTTCTCTAATTTACATTAACACATGCATTCAACTTGATTGCAACCTGGTCAATGGCCTTGGCTGGAAAGGGGTCATGCGTTTTTACAATTTTCACAATGTTCATGTTTGTGTGTGTATTCCCCAAAGATACAGGTTTATGACTGAGATTTTGATGTCAAACTTGCATCAAACGGCATAGTACACCCGCCGTCCTTAAGGGTTTAAAGGACACACACACACACTTTACAATATTTACAAAAACAATGCTTGCCTTCAAGCAGGTGAAGATTGAAGGAGCTGAAGACAAATTAGGAGGAAGTTAGTTGCTTCAAGAAGAGAAGTTTAGTCAACCATTATATTTAGATAGCGCCAACAAATTCTGCAGAACTTGGCACTTCCATGGAAGTGGGCATTTAAACTGGGTTTGTTTAATTTAGTTTATTTTTAAACAATCTAAATAACATGCAAATTAAAAGACCGCTAAAGGCAACCAAGCCACATCACCCATGGACCAGAGTTGTTCCAGCACATCCTCAGATTGAAATCCGGAAGCCAAGGCAACACCTTGAACTCATTGTCATATTCCTTAAATCAAGACACTATAAAACCTGGGCACATTGGCCATCTAGTTTGAAAGCTTCAGTTTAAAACATTGCAGTTTTGTATTATTTTATTATTTATATAGCGCCAGCAAATTCCGTAGGGCTGTATAATGGGAACCAAATGCACATTTAGTGGATGTCATACTGACAGTCACCAAAAGTGCTTATCCTGTAAGAACAGAGTCATGCTATAGTCTCAAAAATGTTATTCCTAGAGACAATCTGACTGGCGTAGGGTGGCAATTTGATGTGCATATGCAATAGCCTCCCAATGTTAAAGATCTCAACCAAGGAGGAGTTGCTGCTGTTAGACCAGTGAAAGAAAAGGGAGTTAAGGTAAACAAAGCTCACCTTCAAAACTCTCACCTGACCAAGATCGGTAGGGGTACACTATATAGTGTTAGGAATACATATTTGTATTCCTAACACTATAGTGTTCTTTAACAGCAAGCCAATAAAAAACAAGTGGGTGGAGCTAAAGAGCAGAAACCTGGTCAGTTAATGCAGGGCTTGACAAATTTGTTTGGAAGTTAGGAGCCAGCTAAACAAATTAGGAGCCAGCGTTTACATTGCTACCTACTAAGACCTCTAGTGACAGTCACTCAGACAGCCACTAGAGGGACCTGTGTCAACACTCTGCATGGAGGTGCTGAATGTTTCCCCATAGAGAACATGCATATACACACAAACTTTCCCTAACACTCGCAACTTCATATTTTTAATTCTAATCCACCCAGCCTCCCCACCATGGGGAGAGATGAGTGGACTTTACCTGGGGTCCAGTGGGGCTGCTATTCCTGCGTTCGAGGGAGCAGTGATCTTCCTGAAGCAATGCCGGGGCTGGAATGATGTCATATTCCGACTCCCGGCATAATTACACAGCGCGAGGGAGCAGAGAGGAGCTGCAGGAAGACTGCTCTCTCGTGCGCTGCCTCAATGCTCTCCAGGGTGGTCGGCTACATGCTCTGAGTCGGCCACCTCCATTACAGCCCAGAGAGGAGCTGCAGGAAGACTGCTCTCTCGTGCGCTGTCTCAATGCTCTCCAGGGTGGTCGGCTACATGCTCTCTGAGTCGGCCACCTCCATTACAGCCCAGAGAGGCTAGCTACAAAGCTTCCTAAGCTGGCTGCCTCCATGCCTTCCAGGGCAGCCGGCTATAACGCTCCCTGAGCAGGCCGACTCCATACAGCCCAGTGCGGCCAGCTACAACGCTCCCTGAGCCGGCCGACTCCATTGTTTGCCCAGCCGGCTGACAAATCTCAGGCACAATGACAACATTTCTAGTCGCCATGGCGACCTGAGAGTTGTCACGCCCTGAGTTAATGTTATATAAAATTACGAATGGCACTTGTTTTTTCTTCATGTAAAGAAAATCTACAAATAGAAATATATGTGGGCCACGAATGATAAGTATTCATGTATGTGCCATCAGTCAAAACAAATGCTCTATTTACATACTTTACTGTAATTAAAGCCATTCAATGAGAAATAACTGACCAAAAATTAAAAGAGGCAGAAATATTCTAACTCTGGTTAATCTGCCTGGCTGAAGGCCCAAACTTCCATAAAGATCTTTGCAAGTGTCTTTTTTTACCCTCCACTCAGTCGCTTCAATGCCAAATGTTAATGTTTAACCTTGTCTGTTAAAGTACATAATAAAACACCATCAAAAAATATGTTTGCATTAAGAGCAGACAAAAGATAGGAATGAGGAGTGGTATTTATCATTACCAACACTCTTAAAGCAGTACTGTGTGTCACCTGGTCATTAACATTACAGTCAATGCGGTGTAAAAACAGTTAAGGTTTACATAGCTTGCAAATTAAATTAAAATGGTTGGTGCAGTTTTACCAGATTGCATGGCTTGAATATTGCATACAATGAGATTTTAAACCCCCACCTGTTTCATTCCCCCACGCACTAATGCTTTAGGCTTTCTTTACAACAAGCACTTGTGTACAAGCCAACACCCCCTTCAGGCAGCCCACATGCTCGTTTATTGCTCAAGCAAAGAGCTTAATTTTCACCCTAGCTGTACTAAGACAAGCCATGTACTTGATAAAATGCAATCCACTTCCACAATGACATTCAAATATGAATCAGACAGTTGAGAAGCAATACTTTGAAAGAGATGATTTTAGAGCAAAAGTTACATTTGCCAAACATTGCAATGATTAACCTACCTAGGCCTTCTTAAAGGGACATGTATCACTTGATAATTTTTTTAAACCAGCAAACATTTAAATATACAAACCAAAATAAAGCAAGAAAAGCTTTGACCAGGTTTATAAATGTTTGTTGCACAATTTTAAGATTGGATTTTTGTGCACACCCCTTAACTAGGAGAGTTTCTTCTGCCAACCTCCCCTTACAGATCCATCTCGGTTTTCGACCAGTCCACTGATAACAGAAACAGAAAATTGTGCAGCCACAATAGAGAAACCTGCTCTGCTTGATCACATTGATCATACTCTCCCTCTGTAGCAAGGTAAAGATATCTAACTTCACGTGTAAACCGGTAGACAAACACAATGTACTTTTTTGGAGTGTGTGTAGTGGGGTAGAGTGGGAAGAAAAAAGAAAAAAAAAAGGAAAAAAAAAAAAAAAAAAAAAAAAAAAAAAAAAAAAAAAAAAAAAAAAAAAAAAAAAAAAAAAGGAAAGAAAAAAAGGAAAGAAAAAAAGGAAAGAAAAAGGAAAAAAAGAAAATTGCTCAGAAAAAAATAAAAATAAAAAAAACTGTTCCCATCTACAGTGGTATCAATTTTGTAAAATCGTAAAAGAAAGCTAATCTCTAAAATCCAACACAGACTAACTTTCATGCAAATAATCTATACAAAAAAAAAAAAACTCAAAAGAAAATGACACCTAGTATTAATGGTTTAAACAGACAGTCAGAAAGACACACACACACACACACACACACATATTTTCAATTCTTTTCATTCTGCCACAGAGGAGTATTAGTGCGATGGAAGGACTGTCTGCTTCACCGGAAGGGCAGCTAGTGGCCGCAGTAGACTGCCCAGCGTAGGAGGATGCTCCTTGTGATGCATACGACAAAACTTTGCGGCCAGCACTTTGGGCATTGAAGTCAATGGGACAAGCTGCAGACCGACTGTACGATTAAGGCCGCTAGTAATATGAAACATGTAGAGCAAGCGTTTCAGATTTGATTTGTGTGTAAATAGGTCAGTATGGGTGTATGGAGTGTGTATGGGTTTGTGTGTGAGTATGGAGTGAACATTTGGGTCAGAGTGTGGGTGTCAAAATGAGTGTGTGGGGGTCAGTGATTGTGTGCAAGGACACTGATTAAACAAATACAATTTATACTTTATGAGTATCATGCATATACATTCACACACACACACACACACACACACACAAAGACAAAGGGAGAGACTACACTCCAGGTAAGACAAAGCTTGGAATTTTTGCAAAATAAATCCAAATTTCTAAATCAAAGCACAAATACCCATGGTCTAACTATAACAAAGTTACAGAATAATTCCAGATCATCTATATTTGCCCCCGTTTTGCCAATTCTATATTTAATTTGTGAAAATTAGTTAAGCCTTTTTTTTAAAATTCCACAATGGAATGCTGTTGTGAGTTCTCAGGTTAGAAGAATAGCAAGTCACGTAATTATGGGCAAATAGAGGCAATTTGTTTTGAAACTTAGCTTCAGTGCTTTATCAATGTATCAAATGGGTATCCAGTAGAAAGGTTTGATATCATAATTGAAGACTACTAGCTGCACCATACAAGGTCAAATATCAAAGGTGTGGCTTATGCAATCATTAAGTAGTATTTTTAACAATAAAACCACTTATAAAATGATGGCAGTGGGACTTGGCATTCAATGGAAATGGAGGGATATAGCTGAAAGTTGAAGCAACAAAATTTTAGGACAAGCATGGGACATAGGTACAGTGCTAAATTAAGTCAGTTTCTTAGCTTTTAAAGAAAGTGATAGGTTTACGATCTAGCAATGTTAAAATATACTTTAGACAAGATCAACACTGACTGCTACCATATTGATGAATCAAAAAAAAAGTAGCATAAAATAATGTTTACACATTTAAATGTAAAATAACCAAGTAAGATTTCGTTTAAAGCCTTTGCAAGCCCTGCTCTCTTCTAAAACAAACCACAGCTTAATGAAAAGTACTTGCAAGGCAAGTACTCTGCGCAATTTCTGTCTCTAGAGTTTCGCTCCACTGAGCTAAAGAACCAGAAAGTACCAGGGCCAGTTGTCTGACAGCCAAGAGGCGTAACAAGTTTAACAGCTAAATAAACCAGCTACTATTAAAATCTATTGAAGGATGCAAATTTCTGTTGCCGAATTTTTCAGCCAAAAATGGGCCTATCCCATTTCATCCCGGAGAAGGGTCATATTGGCTGAAAATTACACCCCCGCATCGCCCTTATGAGTGGGAACAATGCCCAGTTAGTAGCCAGCAATATGACAGTGCACAATACCCCGCAGCCGGTTACGGCTTACATTCAGGGTGCAGAGGTCAGACAGCTGCATGATCCCTGCCGGCAGCTCCTCCAGCTCATTCCCGGAGAGATCCAACACCCGCAGTGATGCCCTGCACGTGCGAGAGGATGCCCAGACCGTCTGACAGCTCTCGCAGCTCCTAGCACCCGCTCACCTCCAGGTAGTTGAGGGAGAGGGTGAAGTGAGCTGGCCACCACACACCCGCAGCTTGTCATCCACAGCCAGTCCCTGGAGTACCAGCTCCAGGCACTACTTCTCTGCCTTCTCCATCTCCTGCATCTGCTCGCAGACTGCTGCCATCTTAACCGACAAACCCTCAGACCCAGAAATACTAGAATGGCTAATCAAAATCTAGCACACCGGAAGTTTGTCAAAAACTGCTTCCTCCAGGAGATAGGAGTGGGCAAAACTAGCCTGTAATGTGCTTGTCTGACTGTTAATCCACTCTAAATACACAGTAAGATCACAGAACACATACATCAAGTGCAAAATATAAATATGTACTAGCCTTATAAGATCTCCAAAGTAGTGCTTAAAAACTTAAGTACATGAAGTTTATTAAAAAGGCTTGTTTTTAGCACAGAAACTGTCCCCTTGTATACAGACAATAGATTAAAACATAAAATACGTTGGAGGTAGCCTGGGGAAACGGGAGGTAAGACCAAAGGTACTAGACTAGTACCTTTGGTCTTGCATCCAGTTTCCCTTGGCCACCTCCAACATATTTTAAGCTGTGTCTAAAGTTACTTCTCCCTCCTATCTCTCCAGATCTTCCAAAATCATCTCGCTTTGTATATTTCTCTTACTATTATTGCCCTATTTTTCTACTCCAACAACCCCCTGTACTAACATTACAGCCAATAGACAATTTAGATGATCTCTCCCTATTATAAGACTTTTTTCCCCCCATTAGACTCCCCTTTCCTTTTTCAACGATTGTTCCAGATTATTTGGACATTGTAAATCATGAAATTATTCTGAACGGATGTTTATTATACGAATGGGGAATATATACAGAGACAATATATAACCCGTTGGCTTGATTTTTAGGATCACTATATCCAATTAGCATATAGATACAACTGTCAACTAGCATTAAAGGACCACTATAGTGCCAGGAAAACATACTCGTTTTCCTGGCACTATAGTGCCCTGAGGGTGCCCCCACCCCCCGGCTCTGGAAGGGGGAAAGGGTTAAAAACTTACCTTTTTCCAGCGCTGGACGGGGAGCTCTCTGCTTCCTCTCCTCCTCCGATCCTCCTCCTGGGCTGAATGCGCACGCGTGGCAAGAGCTGCGCGCATTCAGCCTGTCGCATAGGAAAGCATTTCCTATGGACGCTTGCGTGCTCTCACTGTGAAAATCACAGTGAGGAGCACGCAAGCACCTCTAGTGGCTGTCAATAAGACAGCCACTAGAGGATTAGGGGGAAGGCTTAACCCATTCATAAACATAGCAGTTTCTCTGAAACTGCTATGTTTATTAAAAAAAATGGGTTAACCTTAGCTGGACCTGGCACCCAGACCACTTCATTAAGCTGAAGTGGTCTGGGTGCCTAGAGTGGTCCTTTAAGATACAACTTTTGGCAATGGATAATAAAGCCTGTTATATCATTGAATAGATGGTTAAATGGTTATCTTTTTGCTATATTGCAGCAATCTTCTCACATTGTTTACTGTTGAAGATATTTCATTCAATTACTTCGTTTTATGAAATACCAAACCTGGCATTCTCACATGAGGTTCCCCTGATTTATATCTGTACTATAAGAGTTAACCCTTGGTTGGAATTGGTATCACCCCCACGATATTCTTGGTATAGGGGTGACAGTATTTATTTTGGTCCTAAGAAGTAAATTGCAAACACACACTGCATTACATAAACACACTACGCAAACACACACTGCATTACATAAACACACTACGCAAACACACACTGCATTACATAAACACACTACACAAACACACTGCATTACATAAACACACTACACAAACACACACTGCATTACATACACAGTGTGTTTGTATAGTGTGCATTATATAAACACTATACAAACACACTCCATTATATGCACAGTGTGTTTGTGTAGTCTATATAATGGAGTGTGTGAGGGGGTTACACTGGGGAGCTGCTGGGAGGTGAGTAAGCGCATGCTGCCCGCCTTCTGTTTTTCAAATTACAGCAAAAAAATTAAATTAAAAAGATACTGCATATGTATCCAAACTATAATCATGATATAGATATGAGAGTGAAATATACATATACACACTTGCCAAGAATCAAGAACAACCCATTCTAAGAATGTATTTGGCCTAATGGAGCTGAATCAATGGGTGTGTACAACATTCCAGTGTAGGACAAAGATTGCCTGAAACCAAAATACACAAGAAGCAAGCAATAGTCTTCAGATTTCTCCATGCCACAAATAATCAAGCCAATGGCCTATCCAATTAAGTGAAAATACTCACTAGAGACACTAAATAGTATTGTTTATAAATATATATGGGCATAAGCAAAGACAAATCATAAAGAGAAAAGTATACAAAGGATATTGCAAGTTTAATGGAATCATCCCATGAAATGTATACAATAAGAACACTGAGCAGTAACACTTGCCATTAGGCCAGTGCAGACATGAATAAGCATTCCATAAACCTTTAAAAAGGGAAACTATACAAAAAAAGTAAAAATAAGATTCTTTGCAGCTTTTAAGGCAAATCATGCTGCCACCACCACATGTCTGCTCATGGCAACTTTTGCTACTTGGAGTATTTCAAAATAAAATACAAAACAGGCTAACAGTCAATAAAAAGCACAGGCTTCTGAAAATGAAAATAAAACTAGGGGGGTTATTCAGCATGAGTTATGGATTAGTTATGTATCATGAGGCTGTATATTCATGCAATATATAAGTTGTGGGCAAATTAATTCCATTACGACTACTACTCATTTACCAACCAGGTTCTGTTCTTATGAGAAGACATACACCCAGAGCAGGGAATTCCTCTAATCTATGTTCGGGGAAAGAGATCAGGCCTCTAACGTGGGGAATCCCTTGAATCCCCATGTGAGAGGGCTGGTCGTAAGTGCGAGCAGTCGTAAAACGAGGACCACTTGTATTCAAAGAACGAGTACAGCGTCAGGAATACAAAAATGTATTCCTAATGCTATAGTGTGCTACGAGAGATATCTGGGCACCTGCACTACCCAACCTGGTTGATACCATGAAGATTGATGATCTCAGTCAATCCAATGCCTCATCACAGTTGGAGGATAGTGTACATGTATAGCAAAACACAATACTGCACCAAATGCTCTCTGTGAACAGTATTTGATTCCTGACAAAGTCTGACTTTTCTCACAGGAGAAGCGTCTTTAATGGCTGTCTGCCACAAAGCCATTAGAGGTGTGTTTAACTCTGCAATGTAAATAATGCTTTTCCAAAAAACAAACAAAACAAAAAAACACAATAATGCAGGGTTAAATGGCAGAGGCATGGCACCCTGACAACTTAATTTAGATTAAATGGTCTTATAACATTTTCCGATTAGAAAACTCTAAAGTAACTCCACCTTGGGCAGTATCATTAGTACTTTTAGCCCGGAACACAAATTCCAGCATGACCAACGTCAATTCTGTGCGTATTCTTTGGAAAGAATGTCATTCCTAGGCTGAATGATCAATGGGTCAGATGCATATCGCCCAGCATCACAGAAAGGAACTCAGATATGAGAGCAAACCACTGCAGTTTACGTTTTATGGTTGTTTATTTTTATACTAATTCCTTTTATTTCATATATATTGACATTTTTGCATAAATTCCTTGCCTACCTTCCTCACTCACGAATGACAGTCCTATTTATGCTCATTCAGTCGTAGAGTCAGTAATCTGCCCCAATATCCACTATAGTTCAATTTATTTTTTTTTTTTTTTATTGTGTGCTCTTCCTGCAGGACATTGTCAAGTAGATTTGAAAAGTAAAAGGCATCTGCAAAATAGTAAAAATGGCTGTTCTAAAGAGTAGAAAAATTAGGTAAGTGATTATTAAAGTGAGTATTAAAAAAATTAAATATACATGAAAATAGAAAAAAATTGCCATTACAAATATACCAAGATAGTAAAATCTGACGGTGTTCCTTTAAGAATTATTTTGCCACTTCTTTACCAAAGTTTGCACATGTTAACACTTTTCACAATCCGATTGTGACATTTCCTATCTTCCTCATCCCAGAAAATGCCACGAAAGAGTTTACTCAGATGAGACATGCAGAGAAAGCATTAAATACATTTTTCTGCTCTTCCATTAACCAGCAGCAACATATTACCAAATACTCTAAATCAGGAATAGGCAACCTTCGGCACTCCAGATGTTGTGGACTACATCTCCCCGAATTATATGCCAGCATTATTGCTGTATGAGCATTAAGGAATATGTAATCCACAACATCTTGAGTACTGAAGGTTACATACCTTTATTCAACATCAACATTCATGTAAAGCAGACCCCCCCCCCCCGTTGCATTTGATGCAAACATTTTTTATATAAAAATCTTAAAAGGGACACTGTAGTCAGAGAAAAGGCAGTGTTTACATTACTGCCTAGTATCACCTCTAGTGGCAGTCATTTAGACGGCCACTGGAGGTGCTTCCTGGGTCAGTGTTGCACAATGTACAGAACAGTTGTTCAACGTCTCCATACTTTGCATGGAGATGTTGAACTTTCCCCATAGAGATGCACTGATGCAAAGTATCTATCATGAGATGCTGATTGGCGCAGTGCTGTGTTTTGCCGCAAATGCACAATAGCCGCCAAAAGGTTTCCCACTATAGCATTGGATTAGCTAAAATGAAATTTAATTATTCCAGCCAAGGAGCCCACGCGGCGAAAATGGTAAAATAATCTTTTAACCACCAAAAAGAATGGGAGAGCTATACAGCACAATTAGACCTATAGTGTCAGGAATACATGTTCCTGACACTATTGGTGTTCCCTTAAAAATCGAAAAGCATGACCTTAACAGGGTATGTGGCAGGAAACTAAATGTCAACTAGGGAAGAATAAGCATCTCTCCTCAGGTTAAGAAAAAGTTTGACTACTGGAGCTTACATGAATGTGCCAGTAAGTTTACCACAACACATTAGTTCATCATGAGTCCTAAAATGTTTTTCAACTACGGACATTACTGACCAAATGAAGTGGGATGATTGGCTTCCAAATAACTTTGATAAGATAATTTGAACTTTGATATTCTTGAAAACGGATTTCTGGTGTTCCACAGGACTGACAGGCTTACAAGGCCCTGATAAAAAAGTAGAAATTGTAAACAGAAGGGGGTGGGGGTGCAGTATTTGCATCACAAAATCAGAAATATATATCAAATTACAGAAAAGAAAACAAAAAAACAAGCAACTCCAACTATTAAACTCCCTTTATGTATTTGGCTGTGAATACGAGTCATAGGCACGGTGTAAATTATGTTTACATTTTTCTAATTCAATATAAATTTCTTGCTGCTTTCTAAAGAATTATAATTTGATAAAAGGTAGATTTAAAATAGTTTACAGCCTTAAAGTACGATACATAAGCAAATGTTCATGTGACAGTTACTGAAAGAAGAGAAGGAAAAAAAAAAAAAATCCACTTGGCATTTGCCAAAAGAAATGATGTCTATGTGGTCACACCCACTTTCCACATAATCAGTCCTTCACTAAACAGAATCACAGCTCCTTCTGTTTCAACCATATATATCAAATTGAAGGATATAGTTCCAGAGCAATGGCTACAACAACATTTCAGCGACAAAAGAAAGGAATTTACCATTTCTATACTAAGAACAGAAAGTAATTTTACACAGATTAATGTAGGCATAATATGCATTTTTCATTTATTTTACATAGCAGGTTAAAGAGGAATGAAAGAACAATATACACTACTCGCAGACTGACCAGGACCAAGGGCCCTTTCAATTCACCAACAGTCCTATCCCTGCTCTTTTATATTGCCAATGTGGACATTACTCTACTGCATTAACAGTGTCAATTTCATTCATATTTTATGGCACTGGCTGCGTGGTTCACCTGAGCGCCCCCTGCCGTTTGCATCTACAAAGAAGGTTCTTTTTCAACAAAGTAATTTACAATGTGGTGACAAAGTGCATTTAACAGCTAATAATAAACCTTGATATCAACAAAAGGAATTGTTACACAATCAACGTGGAGGCATGTTGGCGGTGGAATTACAATAGGACAATTATAAAAAATAAAAAAAAATTACACCAGTGGCACAGTCACTTCAGAGTTTTTTTAATTACATCCTTATGGGTAAAAAACACACAAAAAAAAATAAAAAAAAATAAAAAAAAACAACAACCACATTGCATTGTAAGCCTCCAAATGCTACTTCTCGATGTTTAATTTGCAACTGCCTAGAAGAACAGGTATTTTCCCACATGATGAGCAATGATATGGTTTACTTTGCTTTGTGTATAAGCCAACCTTTGTGCTAATTTCCAGATTTCTACAACCCCATTCTGCTGTCTCACATGAACATAATAAAGTGAGCAAACGTGATAGCTCTTGGAGGAAGAAGCCACTAGGAGCTGAAGAAACTGAAGAGAAACATGCAACATGCATTAATGTAAGTACGCCACTATGCAAGCTTATTATAACTAAAAAGAGAAACCACAATCTACATTGCAAGTACAGCGCTCCAGCATTATACATATTTGTATAACACTGGACTGTCCCTTTAAAAGGGACACTATAATCACCAGAAGAGCAATAGCTTAATGGGACACTCCAGACCTCCAAGTACTTTAGCTTGCTGTGTGAAGAGTATATTTTTCTTCATTTTGCAAAAAGTGCAGATTTTATTGGAAATTAACACATATATACTGGTTACACCTGCTTGACTTTTCAAGCAGACAAGTCCTGTTTGGTTAGCTTATTTGTGCTCAACTCAAGAGGCAGCAGTTGCCCAGAGCAACTGCCTTGCAAAGACTTTTCATTGAGCTGCGTTGGAAAGTCTGTGATTAAACAGTCACAAAGTCTGGGCGTGGTTAGAAGGAAAGGGTTTGCAAGGGCAGCATACAAAAGAACTGCAGTTTAAAAAAAAATAAAAAAAATGTATATATATATATATATATATATATATATATATATATATATATATATATATATATATATATATATACACACACACACACACACACACACACACACATACATACAAAGAATGATAGGAGTTGCACTCCAGCTCTCCTTATTTATTGCCCGGTGCTCGGCTGCACAAATGTATAGCTTTTAAAAAAGAGTCAGCACTCAAGGACTTTCAATGTGCTAAAAAATGCAAAAGAACCTTTTAATCCAGTTGTTCAAAGAGGTCAACGTTTCAGTCCATCGTCGTGGACTTTCATCAGGACATAAATGTCCTGATGAAAGTCCACGACGATGGACTGAAACGTTGACCTCTTTGAACAACTGGATTAAAAGGTTCTTTTGCATTTTTTAGCACATTGAAAGTCCTTGAGTGCTGACTCTTTTTTAAAAGCTATAATATATATATATATATATATATATATATATATATATATATATACATACACATATATACATATATATATATATACACACACACACATACACACACCCAACGACAAAATGCATAATTAAATTAATTTGGGGTATATCTACTAAATAGTGATTATTTTGTATTTGGGCAGTGGAGTTTCCCTTTAAAGGGACACTAGCCACCCAGACCACTTCAGCTAATTAAAGTAGTCTGGGTGCAGTGTGCCTATTTAGTGCTCAGATTTAAAACATTGCAGTTCCAGAGAAACTCAAATGTTTACCTTGCAGCATTAAGTCTGCCTCCAGTGTGTCTACCAGATAGCCACTGGAGGCGCTTTCTGGATCCCAACGGACTTTAGATCCGGTAACTAATGCTGGACGTCCTCATGCTGTGCATGAGGACATCCAGCGTCCGCTATGTATCCATAGAAAAGCATTAATTCAATGTTTTCCTATTGGGAGGCCTAATCCTCACATTAGTGCTCACTCGTCAAGAGACGTCTGAGGAGGTTGCGCTGTGACCTGTGATCAGGAAAGTAAATAAAGGGTTTTAACCCTTTATTTACCAAGTCTGAGGGGGAGGTAGAGAAGGGGGAGGTAGATGGAGCGTGCCAGGAATACAGCTTTGTATTCCTAGCACTATAGTATCCCTTTAATGTAGTTGCTCTGGTGCCTATAGCCGATTTCTGCAGGCTTTTAAACGTAAACCAGGGGTGGCCAAAAGGTAGATCCCCAGTTGTTGTAAAACTACAACTCCCATGATGACAAAGCATCAATGAAACTGTAGTTTAAAACATGTGATCTACCTTTTGGGCACCCCTTCAAAGAAAAGGCAGTGTTTACATTGCTGCTTAGCAACACCTCTAATGGCCACACTAGAGGGACTTCCTGGCTCATGTGCAGCATTGACATTCAGCCAGCGTCTCCACGCTTTGCTTGGCGTAACGGAACACTCCCCATAGAGATGCATTAATTTAATGCATCTCTGTGGTGATGCAGATTGACGCAGAGCGGCGTTTTGCAATGCGCAATTGCCCCCTTTAGTAAAGCATTGGACTGGCTGAGATTAGTTACATGATTTCAAGCCAAGGGGATGTAGTGTGGGCAAGGTCAGTTGCGACAGACCTGCATGCCATTGAAATAAAGGGAAGTAAAATCACCTTTTAAATTGCTTAGAGGGGGGTAGGGGGCCTAAACAGACTCTTTATAACCATAGTGACAGGAATACACATTTTTGTATTAAAGGAACACTATAGTCACCTAAATTACTTTAGCTAAATAAAGCAGTTTTAGTGTATAGATCATTCCCCTGCAATTTCACGGCTCAATTCACTGCCATTTAGGAGTTAAATAACTTTGTTTCTGTTTATGCAGCCTAAATGGTAGAGGATTGAGCAGTGAGGCTGCAGGGGCATGTTCTATAAACCAAAACTGCTTCATCAAGCTAAAGTTGTTCAGGTGACTATAGTGTCCCTTTAATGTCACTATAATGTTCCTTCACAGTGCAAACAATTGTTTGGGTAAAGAAAACAAGCCCTTTTTAAAAATAATTACACTTTCTTTGTAAAAGATTAGAGTAAACCGTGAAAAAATAAAAGTAGTCAGAATTAAATCAGCGTTACAAGCATCAAAAACAAAACTGTAGTGGTTATAGTGCTGTAAGCTCTTCGATGCCATTCTAATGTTCAGAGTAAGAATTTTTGAAATGTAGAATAGTTGCCTGCTGCTCTTCACATTTATTGCTGAAGTGGAATTTCTTACTTCCTCATCAGAAATAAATTCTGTCTACGTTTGGATTTACTACATTGACAGAGTGTCACAACATTCCTCTAAGAATGAATTCCATCTAAAGTTGGATAAAATTGATATTACAAAAATGAGAGGGTAACTTACAGGTTAGTTAGATCTGTGAAGAAGCACCAGATCAAAGTGAACTAGGTAAGTGTCAAATCATTTGAAAATGGAGGATGCGTGGAGCCAAGGAATGGCCAATACTAACCGGATAGAGCCAAAGGGATGGCTAACACTACAGTAATAATCATTACAGCATGCTGTAATGATTATTACTTAAAAACACATTCCTACAATCTGATTTGTAATCTGTTAAGTATATAGGAAAATGATAAGTACAATGGATTTGTTCAAGGTTTGCATTTACAAAAAACAGTGAGAGAGAAAAAAAGAAGCAATTTTACAGCAGGTCTATGTCATTATTAGTAGCATAATAGTATTAAAAGTATGTGTATTTGCCCTAAAACTTGTGGTGTAAGGAGTACACCATTGTATGGGCATATTATTGTAATTATTGCCATTTATATAGCGCCAAAAGATTTCGTAGCGCTTTACAATATTATTAGAGGGGATTTAACTATAAATAGGACAATTACAGAAAAAAACAAAAAAAACCACAAACTTACAGGCACAATAGGTTGGAGAGGACCATGCTTACATTCTATATATCTACCTGGTTTCAATATTAGAATAATTTGTTGTGTCCTGCTTTGTGAATGGAATGATAGTTGACGTCATGACAGTTAAAGTGAAACTTAAAAAAAAAAAAATACCTTTCTGTAAACCTGCTCTTTTCTTGTCCAATTGCTAATAAATTATTATTAATTTTCTAAACTTTCCTTCTACGGCGTTTCATCAAATTTTCAGTCATACTCCACTCGTGCGAATGGATCCAGGGCAGCTATTAGTCCACCTTTGTGGGCATGAATCTTACTCTTTGTACTGCCTCTCTTTTGAGAAGCCAACAATGGCTTCCCCAAGTCTGGCACAGCACCCATGATGCTAGCACATTAGCCCACTAAACGGAGTGATGTCAGTCATCACTCCAATACTCCATCCTTGCTCAAATGCCTGCTTGATTGGAGGGTTCATACTATGTATTTCCTCATCAATAACCCGGATTATGTTTTTTTCCCTATTGTCAGTATTCTAAAATTCTCAGCAACAATGTGCTGTTTTATGTTTGCAATATGTTTAATTTCATCATTTATATATACACATACATACACATGGGCAATTGCACTTAAAAGGGTTTATTGCCAATGCACTGAGCCAGCACGCTTTCTGTCTGACATTCAAAGAGTTAAAATGGGGCCTGGACAATTAAATAGCACACACAGGGGTTAACTTAGTGTACATATTACTAAATCAATTAACCTTTTCAGTGCAATATTATTTGACTGGTTTCTCATACAAAAACTGTGCACCAACGCACTTAATACTGGCAAGAAAGGTCAATTGCCAGTTCTTATAGCAATGGCACCCAGACCAATGATACACGCAGAACAAAACATGCGCACAACATAAAAATGGCAGGCATGTATTAAGGTATATAGACATCGGCATAGTGTCCATGCCAACAGTATGTCTGCCAGGAGTAAGGTTGAGAGAGTTCAATAGAAATATATACGTTTCCTAGTGATTTGGTTAGCACAACATATAGATATCAGAAGAGAAAATATATAACCATAAAGATTTATGCTGGAGAAAAAAAAAAAAAAATTTCACCACGTTGTCTTAATCTATTGCCATGTTTTAGAAGAAAAAACATTGACATTCTATTTATGATTTACTCTGCTGAAACATTTACAGTATTGTACTTCAATGCCATTTATAAACCCTTTTTTAAAACCCACACACTTTAGAAAAATAGATAAGAAAAAGAAAACATGTTAAATTGAATTATCAAATCCTCCAAAACATCGATACCAATTTTAATTGCTCAAATTTAAAAAAAAAACAAACAAAAAATAAACACACGTTTGTAGATTTAATGCCACTCCCAATAATAGCACCTCTGCAATATCCAACAACTCAGTTGCATCTTTATTGCAAAACGATCTAAGTCATTATTAAGAAAATGTGTAAGTACCATGTTATGTGCAAATTTCTAAATGTTGATTTATTCTTTTGGTTTCCATGGGGATTGTTCTTATTTAGCACAATGCCCCAGGTTAGCACCTGTTTTTGTCTTGATAAATGTCTCCTATATATACACTGTGGTGCAAATATATGGTATTGGAGGTCACTATCAACATAAACCTTTGTAATATTCTTCCATGATGACTGTATATCTACTAAAGACATTTGTGATTAGCAAAATCCATAAATCCTTTAAAGGTGCAACATACCTATATAACACAGGTGTAACAGACAGAATGCATACATTTTGGGTTAAGCCATGCAAAAGCCAGAGGGTCAATGATACATTAATGGCAGAAAAACTGCTTTTTGGAAAGTCAGATACTTTAAAAATGAATTCTGGCTCACAACTAGCACTTGGCCAATTGATTTCTTCTTTTGCATTCTGGAAAGCCTCTCTATACAACAATGACATACAAAAACATACAAATTGCACAAAGTCAAGTGCAACAATAAACCAGACACATATGATTGCAAAACCTACTGGACTGACACAATGTCATCCTAAATAGCACAACAAACTGAATCCTGTATAAATCAATCCTTCTAATCGTATTCAATTTGGAGACTGCCAGACATTAAAAGAGGGAAAAAAAAAGGGCACAAAAAAAGCAACAAAGTTCACGTTCAGTCTCAACTTTGTGTCTCAGACAAAATGCAAAACCAAGGCAGCAGCACAGTGACAGATAGGATGTATAAATGCCGCCATGCAGGATATGAGTGAAGCAGATAACCTGCCTGGGAGAAGATGGCTAAGATTTATAGCAGCATGGGAAGATCTGACAAGTCCATGGACTACAGCCAAACATGAGCATTGCACAGGGCTAGACTGCCAGCTTAGGCCAGCAGCTAACACCAATACATATATAATATATACAGCGCCAGGCGCGTGTACCACCAGTGCGTGCACAGCGCCAGACGCGTGTACCACCAGTGCGTGCACAGCGCCAGACGCGTGTACCACCAGTGCGTGCACAGCGCCAGACGCGTGTACCACCAGTGCGTGCACAGCGCCAGACGCGTGTACCACCAGTGCGTGCACAGCGCCAGACGCGTGTACCACCAGTGCGTGCACAGCGCCAGACACGTGTACCACCAGTGCGTGCACAGCGCCAGACGCGTGTACCATCAGTGTACACCGTGCCAGATGCATGTCCCACCAGTGTGTACACCGTGCCAGATGCATGTACCACCAGTGTGTACACCGTGCCAGATGCATGTACCATCAGTGTACACCGTGCCAGATGCATGTACCATCAGTGTACACCGTGCCAGATGCATGTACCATCAGTGTACACCGTGCCAGATGCATGTACCATCAGTGTACACCGTGCCAGATGCATGTACCATCAGTGTACACCGTGCCAGATGCATGTACCATCAGTGTACACCGTGCCATGCATGTACCATCATACACCGTGCCAGATGCATGTACCATCAGTATACACAGTGCCAGATACATGTACCATCAGTATACACAGTGCCAGATACATGTACTATCAGTGTACACAGTGCCAGATGCATGTACCATCAGTGTACACCATGCCAGATGCATGTACCATCAGTGTACACCATGCCAGATGCATGTACCATCAGTATACACCGTGCCAGATACATGTACCATCAGTGTACACAGTGCCAGATACATGTACCATCAGTGTACACAGTGCCAGATACATGTACCATCAGTGTACACAGTGCCAGATACATGTACCATCAGTGTACACAGTGCCAGATGCATGTACATCAGTGTACACCGTGCCAGATGCATGTACCATCAGTGTACACAGTGCCAGATACATGTACATCAGTGTACACAGTGCCAGATACATGTACCATCAGTGTACACAGTGCCAGATGCATGTACATCAGTGTACACCGTGCCAGATGCATGTACCATCAGTGTACACAGTGCCAGATGCATGTACCATCAGTGTACACCGTGCCAGATGCATGTACCATCAGTGTACACCGTGCCAGATGCATGTACCATCAGTGTACACCGTGCCAGATGCATGTACCATCAGTGTACACCGTGCCAGATGCATGTACCATCAGTGTACACCGTGCCAGATGCATGTACCATCAGTGTACACCGTGCCAGATGCATGTACCATCAGTGTACACCGTGCCAGATGCATGTACCATCAGTGTACACCGTGCCAGATGCATGTACCATCAGTATACACCGTGCCAGATGCATGTACCATCAGTATACACAGTGCCAGATACATGTACCATCAGTGTACACAGTGCCAGATACATGTACTATCAGTGTACACAGTGCCAGATGCATGTACCATCAGTGTACACCATGCCAGATGCATGTACCATCAGTATACACCGTGCCAGATACATGTACCATCAGTGTACACAGTGCCAGATACATGTACCATCAGTGTACACAGTGCCAGATACATGTACCATCAGTGTACACAGTGCCAGATACATGTACCATCAGTGTACACAGTGCCAGATGCATGTACTATCAGTGTACACCGTGCCAGATGCATGTACCATCAGTGTACACAGTGCCAGATGCATGTACCATCAGTGTACACCGTGCCAGATGCATGTACCATCAGTGTACACCGTGCCAGATGCATGTACAGTGTACATGCCAGATGCATGTACCATCAGTGTACACCGTGCCAGATGCATGTACCATCAGTGTACACCGTGCCAGATGCATGTACCATCAGTGTACACCGTGCCAGATGCATGTACCATCAGTGTACACCGTGCCAGATACATGTACCATCAGTGTACACAGTGCCAGATGCATGTACTATCAGTGTACACAGTGCCAGATACATGTACCATCAGTGTACACAGTGCCAGATGCATGTACCATCAGTGTACACCGTGCCAGATGCATGTACCATCAGTGTACACCGTGCCAGATGCATGTACCATCAGTGTACACAGTGCCGTGTGTGAGTGCAGCTGTCCCCACGCAGAGCCCAGCAGTCAGTCAGCAGTCAGTGTTACACGGCAGCCATCGCACAGATCCTGTGATTACCATGTCCTATAGGCAGTCAGTCCCAGCCGGCAGGCCCTGTGTCAGGGTGGCAGACGGGGAGCCCGGGCGGGCCGGGATGGTAGGCCGCACGGCGGAGCTCGGCTCCCGGGCAGGGCGGGGGAGGGCGGGCGGTACTCACCACACCATGCCGTAGGCCCCCTCCCCGATGTAGGAGAGGTTGGTGTATCTCGGACCCACGTCGAACGCCTGTCCGCGGACCATCTCCGGTCCCCCCCCGGGGTTAGACGAGGCCCCTGGCGCAGCCGCCATGTTTCCTGCTGGTGGAGAGAGAGGGAGTGAGGGCGGGTCTCCGGCGGGAGCTGCGGTGTCGGTCGCGGGAGGGAGGGCGAGGCTGTGCCCCGAGTGCTCGGCTCTGGCTGGCTGGGTCGCTCGGTCGGTCGGTCGGTCACTGAGTGTGAGGCGCTGCCAGGCTAACGCCTTCCCGCCTGCTGGGTGTGTGAGGGGCGGAGCGGTGGGCGGAGCGATGTGGGCGGGGACTCTTTTGCTTTGCTGCAGTGGGTGTGGTTACAATGTGCCTTTTTTTTTTTCCTCAATTGAACAAGCTTTATTTAAATAAGGCAGGGTTTAGTAGTTCAACAAGGAATCTTGTCGAAATGGCTGGGGAGTGTAACTATTAGGTCTGGGATAGGCAACATTCGGCACTCCAGATGTCGTGGACTACATTTCCCCTTGCCAGCATTATGGCTGTGAGTGCATTATTTGAAGTCCACAACATTTAGAGGGTCACAATTATTATTATTAAATAATTGGATCTAATCCCCCGGAATTTATTCTCTAAACTCTGAATTGCAGCAAATTGAAAACCAAAATGATTATCTGGAGGATTTCTATACATTTCTAACATAATTAATTACTTATTTGAGAATTAGAAGTGAATTTATAGTGAATTTCCTATTTTTGGCCAAAGTAGAAAAACAGTAGAAAAGCATAATTAATGCAGACATTTACCGTCCAGGTTACATTCTTACAACACGCTCGTAAGACAAATTGGTCGGTAAGTGAGGATGCGCTACCAAGCATGCGCACCAGTGCAGGTCTATGTTCAGGGAAATTTCCCCTAACATAGAGAAGTGCAGCAGAACAGGGAATCCCTCAAATCTATGTTCGGGGGGGGGGGAAATTCCCTGAACATAGACCTGCACTGGTGTGCATGCTTGAATCCCCATGCTAGAGAGCTGGTCGTAAGTGTGAGCTGTCATAAAACAGGTAGGTCGTTCAGTAAGAGACGTTCCAGTTCAACTATTTTGATCTTAAATATGAAATCAATGTTGCATACTCACTTTAGTGAATAAGCCTGCTTAAAATGTGAAATTCACTTACAGGGTTATTCACTAAAGTGAGAATTGTCAGGAATTCAAAGTGAATTTAAATTGTTAGGCCAAAATAGCCGATCTGGAAATATAGCTGATTTTGAGAACCTTTAGAAAAAAAAAAGCAAACAGTGCAGAAGATGGTGCTAGAAGAGAGAGAGTAAAAAAAGTAATTACGCAGATTAAGAATACATGAATTTCTTTACAAGACAGGATGCTTCCTATTTTGCATAACTTTCTTTACTTATACCTGCAGCAGCACAAGTCAATCAAGACACTTTAAACCAATCAGAAACAAGCATCACATCCATATAAAGCCCTGACAGGCACATCACTTCCTCTTTCTTTGCTGCTCCAGCCAGGCACAGGTCTGAGTATTTTGTTCCCAGATCACTGACTTTGTTTAAATATTTGAATTGTACTACATTATTTATCTTTATATTTACTTTTCTTATTCATGCTGCATTCCCCTCTCCTCCACTCGTCTACCCTTTTCATTGATAATTGAAAAATTTCACACTCTGCTATCCCTTCACATCTCCCTGCCGCGATCGCTCCGTTTTTGACAGGGTCTGGGGCTTGCAGAGAGGGTACTGCGGGTGAGGGGAGTGTGGGAATCTTTGTTATCATACCCGCGGACCACACCGGAAAAATTTACACGCGAACGGTCCCGCAAGATTCACGTTGGCCATTTTTTTCCCACGATCTGGCCTGCTTCTTCTTGCACTCTAACACCCTGCTTTATGGCTATTAACTGTTTCACAACTGTGCAATATCTATTAAAAAATACTAACTATGTGATATTAATGCCTGCCCTGATTTCTGTATTGGCAATGTCCTGAATCAACTGGCCTATTTACATTATACACTCAAAACGTGTATCTGACCTGGGGTGGCTCCCCATTCAAACATGGACATATATTAGTGTTACGGCCACTGCATTAACAGGGGTGACCCCCCTATGCTGGGTGACCCCCAAGCGAGACTTGCACAGACCCTTCAAGGGCAAGTATACTATAGAGGTGACCCCCCTTATGGCTGGGGTGACCTCCTACGCCTTAACCAAGGCTCTATACACCTTGCCATATGCAGACCACAGGTCATACCTATATATGTAATATGGCACCTTACCGGATACAGTAGGGAGAACTCACTGGGACATAACTGGGTGATCCCCTTGGTCGATATTAAGGCTTCCCATGCCTCACCTTACATGGGCTCTGACCCATTTACAATTGACCGCTCATCCTGGTCTTATAGTGGGTGACCCCCTCCTCAGACAACCTACTGCCATTACCTTAAACCAAGTGGTTCTGATTGACGGACTATATTGGGTGACCCCCAGTTGTACGTGGAGGACCACTGTGTAACAGCACCTGTACTTCTGTACCTGAACCTATTCGGTCTTCCACAGACGGGAAGATTTAATTGTTCACAATGAGCGACTCACCTCAACCACCCTCTCCTGACTTCCAGTCAATGATAAATGCGGCGGTGGCAGCATCAGTGGAGAAAGCTATCGGCAAGATGCTGGTGCACAACTCCCAAACCGACATCGACACTGCAACTACTGCGGACACCAGGGACCCCGTGAACTCCAAAATAGAACCCTCAGTGTCCAAGAGACACTGGAAGGGCACCGCCAAGGGCCCTCTGAAATTTAGGGGCAAAGCCCCACTCAAACGCAGCCGCCAGACGGAACGCCGGGACCCTTCCCCTCCTCATATCCCATCCTCGGAGAACCAGGACTCAATCCCTTCACCCTCCCTCGAGATTATGGATGAATGGAAGGCAGAGGAATATCCATCAGAAGAGGACGACTGGCAGGACTTGCCACAGGGAGACATGGACTACGTCCATGAAACGGATCGAGACGGTCATTTTGCCAGAATGAGCTCTCGCAAATCTTCTGATATATTACATGATGGTACCTTCCTTGACATGCAGGGCACACCCATGTTTGACCCCCGCACGATACGGCATCCAAGATCGTCTGAGTGGGGACTGCCAGAACACCTGGCACAGTTTATCCACTTCTGGTTGAGGAAACCCATGAAGAAGGAGGTATGGGCCCGGCTCCGGGCCAAATGCCTACGGCCAATGCTACCGGACAAGATTGCCCACACCCCGGAGTTCAATACACAGTGGTGATGTTTGTGTACCGTTCGGGCCGGGGCCCACATAAAGGCATTCAGAGAGGGCTAAAAGCCTCCCAGGAAAAGCTGCTGGATATACTCGGTCCTCTGGCAAAGATCTTATACTTCGCAAACCTGGCCCTCACCCAAGGCACTCCCCTGGGTGCCCACGACGTAAGGGAATGGATACAATGGGCCATTTGCGCTGAAAGATGCAAGCATTGTTGAAAATGGACTCCAAACTACTGGAGTTGGGCAAAAAGTAAAAGGGCGCCCTTGTGAACGGACAGTTGTTCGGAGATTCATTCATTAATGAACTAAAGAAACACGTGAACCTATTCACTACCCTGAGTAAAGCTCAGACGTCCATTAAGCAAGTGTTTCGCAACCCCGCACCACACATGTTTTTTTTTTTGGCAGGGCTGGTCGACAGAGGGGTCAAACCGCCAGCCGCTTCTGGCCCACAGGCCCCAGAAATCAAAATCCACAAGCCTTCTTCCCAGCCTCAAGAGCCGTTTTCTCAAGGGGATCCTTCCGTTCCAGAGGGGCTCGTGACCGAGGACGCGGACGCTTCGACACAGGTGAGCATACCTCTATGTATTGCCATTCGCATATAACTGCAGGCAGACTGTCTATTTTTCCACAACTGGGAGAAGATTTCCACAGACACTTGGGTACTTCAGACAATAAGGGGTTACGTAATAGAATTCACCGACACCCCAGTGCAGATCAGACGCCCACCCCCTCTTTGGGCGTCTACAGATCACAAAATGCTCATAGACAAAGAGATTCGAGCTCTATTCAACAAAGGAACAGTGTAATTCGCTCCGGACGATACAGGTTTTTTCAGCAATATCTTCGTGGTCAAAAAGAAGACAGGAGACTACTGACCCATCATCAAATTGCACCAACTAAATGGTTTCATAACGTACCGATATTTCAAGATGGAAGGTATCCACCTCCTCCGAGACCTGCTTCTCGAATACGACTGGTTCACGCACTTGGACTTTAAGGATGCTTACCTGTCCGTCCCCATAGCACACGTGAGTCGACCATTTCTTCAATTCACTTGCGATGGTCGCCCATGCCCACATGTCTACCATTCGGTCTCAGTTCAGCCCTATGGTGCTTCACAAAACTCCTGAAGCCAATCATGGCACACCTGAGGGCAAAGGGAATCTGCTGCCTTATCTATCTGGATGACATGTTGATATTCTGCGACAGTGCATCCAGACTACAATCTCAAACGAGGTTTATAGTGCAATTTCTGGAATCGTTAGGCTTCATAGTGAACAGAGAAAAGTCACTATCTCTATCCCGAATTGTTCAATTCCTCGTATTCGAGATAGACTCGAGAACATGTGTCTAACGCCTCCCCACTACGAAGATAGCGGCGATTCAAAAGGAGATACGACATGTACTCCATAAAGACACCATTCTCCTTCGCCTCCTTGCCACAGTGGATGGACTGCTATCGTCCTCCATTCAAGCAATCTTCCCGGGACCGCTACATTATCGGGCCATGCAGCGATTGCAGGCTCACTACCTACGGTCCAAACACTCGTACGACCACTGGGTACCAGTTCCCGCAGAGGTGCGAATGGAACTTCGATGGTGGCTCCTTCACATGGAAGCCTGGAACGGCAGGGTCATATTTGGAGCAACTCCGGATTTCGTCTTGGAATCAGACACCAGCCTCTGGCGCTGAAGAGCCCACTGCACACATGCTTCCACAGGAGGCCCATGGTCGTCGGAGGAGAAACGCCTCCACATCAACTGCCTGGAACTGATCGCGGGATCTTTTAAGATCCGCAGTCTGGCCAAGGACATGTCCAATTGTTGCATACTCCTATACACGGACAACATGTCAATGGTCCAATACATAAACCGTTTGGACGGAGCACGGTCACGGGCCCTGACGGAGGCAACAAGGGACATATACTGTTTCTGTCTTCCCCGCAACATTACAATTAAAGTGGAATATCTACCGGGGATCAACAACCTCACGGCAGACTTTTTGG